TTTACATAGCAATTTGTCAATGGATAACAGAGCCAAACAAGATTTGATATTGAAAACAGAAGCAATGGTTATATTCAAATACAAAACTATACAGGAGTTCTACCTAATTGGTTTGGGACATGTAACATAAACTTAACACATGACATTTGCAGTATATGATTGATTCTAAAAGATGACAAAATATTAATAATACAAAAAATAATAATAAGTACAGATGACAAGTTACACAATGATGTAGCCAAGGTTTCAATAGAATAATTCAGCCTTAATCAGAAAATGATAAAAATGTTTAAATACAATGCAAGAATTTTAACTACCTAACCTTGGCTGGCTCACAAACCTACTCCTACCTACTGCCTCTTCTCATGAAGAGAAGAGGAGGGGGAGGGGAGAGAAAGCCAGCCGGGTTCTTGACGCTAGAAGGACCCTTCACTAAATATACTCGTGGTATATATAGTAGTCCAAGATCAAGTAATATGTGACTTATAGGCGATTATTTACCGGTTAACTTAACGGAATCAAGGGCGATAGACACCAGAGATGTTTACTCGATGAACGCAGCTGACTCTCTCGGTGGTCATAGTGACAAACTGGAGATTTTTAAGAATCAGTTCATTTTTAATTTTCTCAAGATTTAAACCAATTTCTCCTGCATGATAAATGATGCTGGTATCCATGATACTTTACTGGTCTTAGTGGTCTAGGTACTTATAGGACTCAAAAATGAACATGAGTCGTGAGGGAGAGTCTAAAAACTCTCTGCTTTGCCACTATGTCAGTGGTCCTATGCCAATTTGGAATATTGGACATGATAATCCTAAAATTGTGGGTAAAAATGATTGTCTTGGGCATTTTAAAGAATAGCAGGACAATCTGGATCAGGTAGAAATTGGCATTTTTTCTAACTTTGCACTAAATAAATTGGGAAAAGGCCACAAACATATTTACAAAAGTGCAAGCATTATCCCAAATATCTAATTTTACCCTAAAAACAGTCTAATCATACAGCAACACTTGCATTTGTCTTCTCTTAAGTCTAAACTGAATATGTGATAATGCAGTCTGACTGCTCTGACATGACCGCAACTACGTGATCTCCAAGTAAATGTTTTAGGTTGACTTGTTATTATTTAGTTTTGCAGGATATTTTGTTGGGAGCTTTGCAGTAATGCAGAGTGTGGAAGTTGAAAATTTTATGAAACGACGTGCTTGCAAACTGCAAAGTGCAAACTGCAATTTTTCAACCAAACAAAAATACATGACATTAAAGCCACAAGATTTCACACCTACTAAAATTATATGATATTAGAGCAGTGATATTTCAGAAATATGTACGACTTTTCCCAACCTGCATTGCTGCATGCACCTATGAAATTGAGGAGCATGTTCCCTCCAAATGGAGCAGGGCAACCTGAACAAGTGCAATACAGCGCTCCATCACCCAAATAACTGCCATTTCTTTAACAATTTGCACTCTTGGATGGCACTTGAGTTGCACCCCCTTGGTCAAAACCCCCTTGGTCTTGATGTTTGCCATTGCACATAATCTTTGCCTTGTTGGGATAGGATTATTCTCTTCACAAGCCATGACAGAATTTTTGACCTTTGAGTCAATTGATTTTGCACTCATAAAAAATTTGCCGTGCAGCAAGTAGATTTATTAGTCATGAAGACATTAGCTGTGAATGTTAACTCAGAATTTCTTATTTTCCTGTTTAAAATTGAACATGACAAATTTACTTCAATTTGATGTCAGTTTATTACCTAAGAAGTTATTCTTTCTGTTTCCCATAAAAATGCATTGCAATATAATTCCTAAATGCATTCTGTCTGATATAATCCTGAATATGATAAATTGATTGATAATTTCTAGGTAGACATTGATCTGCATTTGCCAACACAGTAGAGTGAAGCTGCTAAATTTGAAATTTAACAGAAAAAATAAACATTTATTTAGAGTTGCAGGATTTGAAATCTAGTCAAGATATTTCTTTTGAGTCGGGCAATTCTAAAGAACTAGCAGCTATCTAAAGCTGTTTTTGCCTGTGATTAACAACCAACAAGTTTTTGAAATCTTTGGCAATTAATTTTTATAAAATTTATTTGCTACTAAAGAATTACTTGTGCTTTTGATGTTGCTGAGGTATTTGGTAGGAAATTTATTTGTAATAGATATATTTAATTATATTTATAATAGATATTTGTTAATTATGGTGCAATAAATTTCAATAGAGTTATGGCTATAATGCAGTGGATAATTTTATTGAAAATTGGCTATAATTCCATTATGAAATTAATCAATATGAATGATCATCTAATGTAAAAATAAATTTAATTTGGTTTTATTGATTTTCACCTTGGATTTGTATTGAAAATATAATGAATTTTAGTGTATGATCAGCAATTCAGTACGAAGATGGACTCAGACACATGTGAGAGGATCATATCTAAGTTGCATAACCTTGTCTCCCTCAACACAAACCTGTGAGTATGTTTTTGTTTCCACACTTACATGTTTTTAACAAGTATTGAAAATTGGTTAGGAAAGTTGCATACTAATTTCTCTCTACAAAATAATCAGTGAGTAAGTTTCTTTTTTAATACTCTGATGCTTTTTTAAAATCCTTGTAAGCTTATTTGCAAATTTACAACAAATACCTCAAAAACAATTGGTTAGCATGCTTTTGGTTTAATAATTTGTATGAGCATTGTAAGTCTGTTATGAAAATTGAAGGCTTAATTATCCTTCAAAATATACCTACCTATCTGTACGATAGATGTTAACATAACAATTTTTCTTCTCATGGTATTTTACTACAGTTACTGTGAATTTAATTACCAAGACAGTGTTATGGAATCAACCAAATTGAGGCCTAATTTGTGCATTGAAGTCATTTTTTCTTTCTTAAGATATGTAAATGACATAAATACGTCACATGCAGCCTAGAACAAGTGTAGATCTACCTATAAAAGCCTGAATTTATGACAGCATTAAACTAAAGGCATATTTATTTATATATGTACTTATTAAAGTACATTTTATTAGTTGTTGACCTGTATTTTAATTTTAGTCATTGATTGTAGGTACTACCTTTACTATTTACTTTACCTTTTGTCAAAGAATTATCATTAGAAATGAATTTTTTACCGGGCATGAGAAATTCAAGTGTCAGATGAGAGCCAAATTTCATCCAACACATTCTGTACATTATATCTATTTTTCTTCTTAGTGATGTTGATCTGATAGACATTTGATCTCCCTTGCAGAGCTTCAAAAAACTGTTTTTCTTAATTATTTTGAATTCAAATTCAACCTGAGAAGTTAAATTTGGTTAATTTATCCCATGCTATTTTCAGTGAGAATTCAAATTCAATTCAAATACTATTAATTCTTCATCCTCAATTTTTTTCAGTGGGGACTTTGACATAGTTTACGCATCTGGGGAAGATAATGTGTCTCCAGTGGCGTGCGTGGAGGGTAACATATCCATAGCATCGTGGTGCGTGAAGCATGTATATGCCCACGCTTACCACAGCTCCCTGAGATGCAAGCAAAAGCTCTGGAGTTACGGTGAGTTGCTGCCATTTACCATTGATTCAGTTGACCTGTTTTGAAATGTTCTGCTTAACACATTACCATATTTTCGGTATAGCAAATTATCATTTTTAGCATAACACCTTTACCATTTTCAGTGCACCACCTTGAAGATTTGAATTGTACTACCATTACCATTGTCAGTGTAAGACCTTCACCACTTTCAAGTAACCATCTTTACCATTTTCACTTTTCCATCTGTAACATTTTCAGTGTACCATCTTTATCATTTTCAGTGCACCATCTTTACCATTTTCAGAGTACCATCTGGACCACTTTACTTTATCCATGTTGCCATCGTCAAGCCTGTGTTAAATTTAATCCTACATAATAAATCTTCATTAGTCCAGTTGCCTCTTGCACACATAATAATATCAGTTGCCAACCGCAGACGAAATAAAACCAGTTGCTTACTGCAGACGAAATAAAAGCAGTTGCTTATATCAGGCAAAGTAATAAATTGCCTTTTTTTGCAGATGAATGTGAAAGTCTGACGCGGTGGACCCAGTTTTGCCTGCTAATTCGTCCCGAGGTGACGACTTTCTGGAACCTGAGACGCGCGTTGATCAAGAAGGGACTCGTGTCGGGGGACCAGGAGTTGCTGCTAACAAAACTCATCCTGTCACGCAAGCCTAAATGCATAGAAGCTTTTTACGAGCGTCAGTGGCTGTACACTAAAGTGCTTGCCACGTCAGGCCATGAGTGGATTCGGCAGGAAATCGACTTGTGTACATGGGCGACATCGCGCCATCAGAACAACTACCATGCCTGGAACCATCGTTTGTGGTTACTTAACAAACTTCTACTTCACGAAGACCGGAATGATCTGTTAAAATCTGAGTTTGAAAGCGTCATGGAATGGGCAGAAGTGCACGTCAGTGAACATAGTTGCATGCATTATGTTAATCAACTCGTCGAGCGAATGGCTCTCAGTTCTAAAGAAGGCTTGTGTTCTTTAGAAAGAGTTCCTCCGTATGTGTCAAGCGTTGCGCAACTTTATGAAGCCATGCTTTCTTGGAACCAGAACCTAATAGTTCAATATCCTGGTCATGAAACTTTGTTTTATGCTCGCAAATCTCTGGTGTTGAAGTTCCAACGAGACTGCGTAGATACCGCAACTCCTGTCACCGCTCGCGAACACTTGGTCGAAGAATGCTTGGTTAGTGGCAACGAAATCGGAACTCAAAGTGCAACAAAAGACGAAACAAACTCGTGGTGTTGTGACCAACCTGCGTTCAAAAGGACGTGCGTTGAGAATGTGTCTGGCGACTGGGCGAGTTTAGTGATGAAGGAGCGTAAGTTTGCCGAGGCCTGTGTCACGGCCGCCACGTCTGATTTCGAGAAAAGCGTGGCACAGGCCTATGTGCGAACGGTCGGCCGCTTCTCTGTTTAATTGCAGTCGTATTTATTCAGAGAATATTTTTGTTATCATTTATAGACCGTAACAATATTGTGAAATGCGGTTCGTATGAACGCTATTTATGTAAGCGAATTGAATTTTTATTTGAATGTACAATATAGTTTATGCATCAACTATAGCGGGGACTTCGGAGAATAGCAGTGTCAGAGAAATACGAGGGCTTCCCGTACACTTCTTCTGGAGACGGAAACTGACACTACGACGCTACATATAATTTTTCATGTTTTTTTCCTGTAAAACGTAGAAAAAAATTAATTGAAATACATCGCTGGTTGCGTTGACATGTCGAATCTTGGATTCGACTTCCTTATTTGGATTTGATTATTTGCTGAAAGATCGGCAAATCTATTATTTATCTCTCATGGTTTCCGCACTTCCTGTGACTATGCTGACAAAATTAAACACTAACCTTATGCAGTTTCATATTTTACAAAAGCTAGTTTCCGTTTGAGGTTTTCGGGACGAGTGGGCAAGTGTGTTATCTTGGTAAAAACCACCAGCGATGCACATTCGATTTGTTAACAGTTCGTGTAATTATCTATCTGCTTCTATCTAAGGTTCTTTTATTTTCAATATTCTTCTAAATGCGTAGCAGTGTCGTATTTTTTTTTACATTCAAATTCGCAAGATCTGATTAGTCCCAAGTTGGGCCATTGTCTCCTATTGTATTGACCACGAATTAGAGAGTTCTCGCAGAATTTATGTATGATTTAGTTACTCGCTGTTTTAAACTTACAAAAATACTGTGCTAATAAATATTCCTATCTATATTTTGCAGCGCAGGGTAGAGAACTGTATTCGTTGCTGGTTACTAAGTATTTTATTGAAGAATGTAGATCTTGTTTGTAAAATAATTGTGTTGGTTAAATCGTTAATAGTTCCCTATTTTTTTCGCCTTTTAAACAAATTATTAATGTGTACTGAAATATCGTTGTTATTGCCTCCTCCCTGCTGACTATCCATTAGTAACCAACCATTTGCCACCAACATCGATGACCGAACTTAACATTTTCACTCAAGGAGTGAATGCGTCTATGCCTTATGACGTGCGTCTATATTTCTCAGCAGTCCTTCTCAGGAACAATTGTGATAATTCCGAGACCAGTCTTAAAAATTGTATATTTATTCAAACCTTATTCGGTTAAGTAATAAATATAATTTAATGTTAAACATGACTTAGAAAAATGATATTCTACAATGAAGTCGTATTGGTATCGAGAAATATTATATTATTGTTCACGAGTGTCTCAAGCCATAATGAAAATGAGCCTATAAGTTACTAGACCAACCATTTTGCTAGTGTAACCGATATTGAAGACACATCGCTTGGAAACTTGTCTTCATCAAGATATTAAATTTTTGCATCACGTAATCGAAGGCATTTGAACAATTAAAACAATTTAATCGGAAGCCAGACTGGATTCATTTCCTTATAATAAAATATGCAATGGTATTGACGAACGTATTTTCATGACGTCTTCAACGCCCATCAGTTCAGTAAAATTAACGATCTTTTACTTTTCTAATTAAATACAAAGCGGATAATAATCGTGATTTCTCACACAAATTATAGCAGTTGTATGTCGTTGATGTCTGCTCTGAATGAACGAACTGCCTAATCACAAATTTTTTCGCGTATGAAATCATGTCGACAAATCGTAGACACAAAGAGCCTAGGCAGGTTCATCATCCTCCCACAGGGCCAGCAAGCGTCGCAGTGTAAAACGAACGCATCACCAAGACCACACTCAGGAAAATTAATGGGTCGTTAAGTCCTAATGAACAAATTTCTTACCCATGGCACGAGCAGAGAACGGACGTAGCACTGATACGTACGACGCGAACTGGGTCACGATGACACGCTTGATGATCGTAATGAGTAACAGTGAAAATTTTCTAACTAATCTTCGTTGCAAAGACTCGCCGATCAAATAACTCTGCAGCGCATTAGAGTAATCAACGCTTTACCGTAACATTGCCAGGATACGGTATTTATGTTCATAATTAATCAGCTAATAAAAAAAACGGAAAATGCGAGGAAAAAACGGTAATAAAAAAACGAAGCTTACAATTCTGTTGCTTGAATACCCTCTAGGGTATAAAGAAATTGAAATAAAAAAAGTGTATGAGAGAGCAGAATTCCTCCACAAATATGTTTTCATTGTGAAATCATTTCTATTCAGCTTTTTCTACGAGCCTAATCCTACAGCTAGCAAATCCTACAAACTGTGAAAGGCTACTGACTCGTCTGTACAAATCACTATCAAGTCCTGTACAATCTTACGAACTAAGTTTGTACATAGTCGGTGAAAAAACATTCATAATAACATTCAAGAAAATCGATAAATGATCCCTGTACCGTGATGGGTAGGCTATCTACAAATGTCTTGTTTGCAACACTTCAAAAATAATTTAAACAATTGACTGAAGACTTCTAAAACGCTTATGATTCAATGCATATAAATCATGATTCAATATCTACGCCTTTCAATGCTGACCGTGAACCTAGGATACCTCTATATACTACAGCCATATACGCGATGGAGCCACTATACCCCAGCATTTTACCCTAAAAATATAGCATACCTTTTATGTCGGCATTGTATACTGTGGAACCATTATATATACCCCTCTCTTTTACCCTGAAGACCCTTTATACCCTAACATAGAAAGCACAATCGAATATCAATTCCCAAAACAAAGTTCTTTTAAAACAATTAAGTTCCCCGAAGTGGCACCGAAAATGTCATCCCAAATCAGACCATTGAAAAATAGTAATTAAAACCTTTCCCTCAAGCGGCGAGAAATGAAATGCAGAACAGAATTATGACAAAAAGTATTAATGCTCTTAAGGCGTCGGACATTGATATTATAAATACTTTAATGTAAATTCGCATCAGAATATCATTTTTCTACAATACCAAAGTAAAAATGTCTGCCCCAAACAGAAGGCGAGAAAATGAATGGCAGTGACAGTCAGCTTCAAGCTCTCCCTCTCAGGAGGCGCTTTGTCTAAACTTGAAGCTTTAAGAAACCATGGAAAGTGTAAGGTCAAAAACTGAAAAAGTAATAAAAAGATAACATGAACTGCAACTTGTGTACCTACAAATAGATTATAATTACAAGAAGAAACTACTATTGGATGTTCACAATAGAAACTGCAAGCAACAGATCAAGAATGTTAATAAAATTACATACAAAACTATTGTGTGATGGCGGCTTTGGTGAAGGCAGTTGCGTCCATTAAAATAAATTTACATGAAACGCATAAATAAGCGAATCAAATAAAAAAAGTCTAACTAAATCTGCTGCTGCAAAAATGCGATTTCTCTTTGAGAAATTTCCAATTCTGCGAAGGAAAATAACTTGTATCTTGAAGACAAGTATTGAGGGAGTTGATGAAGGCCTTAGGTGCACATACGGTAATTTGATTCTCGTGCGTTAATTCTCCAAGGCCTATTTGATGCATCATGGTCTTCGTCTTCAATAAACATGATAGATTTATATATATACCTATATATAATTCCCGTAGAATTACCTTCATCGATGGTGAAAGTAACTTCAGAATTGGAATTTTTCATCAAGCCAACAGAAGTCATTGAACCAATTTCTTTTCAGTTGACCCTCATGAGAAGAAATGTTTTTCCGAAACCAACGACGATCTCTGGAGCACGGAATCTGATGATTTTCTAACTCACAAAGCAAGCTTACAAATTTTCCACTATAGAACTGATCTAATTTGGCGAATGCCGATTAGATGCCGATGCGAGATGCCTCAGGAGTGCTAATGCCGATGCAGATGCCGACATTTCAGAGTTGACAGAATTATTATAGATTATCATACTGGTTCTGCTGTCTCAAAAAGTTCCTACTTCCAGAGTTTGCCACTTTCCTCCAATAGTTCTTAACATTTCTTCACGAAATCGTCACTTTCCTTCACCAATTCGTCACTAACTTCACCAATTCGTCACTACCTATCCTTCAATAATTAGTCACATTCCTTCACTAATTCTTCACTTTCCTTGACTAATTCGTTACTTTTCTTCACATTCCTTCATGAATTCGTCACTTTCCTTCACCAATTCTTCACGAACTCGTCACTTTCCTTCACGAACTCGTCACTTTCCTTCACGAACTCGTCACCTGCAGCCCTCATCTGGTGTGGCCATTCATGCGTAAGGACGCGCCAGGGTTGTTGGTGGTGCCGTTGATGGCACCGCGGTGCTGGCGCTGCTGCTGCATCATGTATTCATCAAGAAGCTTGATGAGAGAGTGGCGCTTGAAGCGACTGGCTTCATGCATCACGGCCTTCAATAAGCGTATTCTGCTCTCCACGCTGCCCTGGACCGTTGATAAGCGAGACAACAGCGGCCCGTAGTCTGCAATGTGAAGAATAGTTAGAAATAGTCAGTTAGTGATAGTTGAACAATAGTTAGTGATAGTTGAAGAATATATAGTTAGTAATAGTTGAAGATTAGTTAGTAATAGTTGAAGATTAGTTAGTAATAGTTGAAGATTAGTTGGTAGTAATAGTTGAAGAATAGTTATAAATACCGGTAGTCAGTTAGTGATAGTTGAAGAATAGTTAGAAATAGTCAGTTAGTGATAGTTGAAGAATAGTTAGTTAGTAATAATTGAAGAATAGTTAGTGATAGTTGGATAATAGTTAGTAAGTAATAGTCGAAGAATAGTTAGTGATAGTTGGAGAATACTAGTTAGTTAGTAATGGTTGAAGAATAGTTAGTTAGTACTAATAGTTGGAGAATAGTTAGTTAGTGATAGTTGGAGAATAGTTAGTAAGAAATAGTTGAAGAAGTCAACCAATTTTGATGCGAGTCATAATTAGCTAATCAATATTGATGAAAGTCATTGTTAAAATCATGTTCAGTTATTGACTGCGGCGGGACTAGACGAGAGAGAAGCGTGTTTCAACAAATAAATACTCAGAAGCGATTGTCCCCACGTATGTATAGAAGAGATGTACATGCCAGTTTATATGTTAATTTGTTCAATACCCTTCGTTACATTTATAATCCTGACTAGTACGCCACAAGTGATGAAAGGACAAATTTGCAGCACTGAGTGAGAACTACTGAAGATATTAGAACTTCTGGCTATAGATTTGAATTAGAAGGTACGATTAATATTATAAGAACTAGAAGGTACGATATATATTATAAGAACTAGAAGGTACGATTAATATTATAAGAACTACAAGGCAAGAACTCACTTCGGCCCGGTCGCTTAACGTCCTTGTACAGCGTCAGCAGCAGCATGCGGTTGTGGCTGGCAGCGTCAGCAGTGTCTTGGAACAACAGCTGATTGGACACGACGACCTGACGCTGGTTTGTCAGCGGCTCCTGACGCTGTAAGGCAGCACCAGCAGCTGGCCGCTGACTTCCAGCACTCTCTGGCACCCCTGAGTTGAGACGCTGAATTTCTTGCGACGTTTGTACGCCTGAATTTAAACGCTGAATTTCTTGAGATGAAACTGCAGGAGAAATTAGATTTCGTTGTCCTGAAAATGGATCTTGTGACGTCACTGCTAAGGGGTAAGGGGCAGAGGGAGGTGACAAGGGGGCTCGGAGTGGGGGTAATGCAGGGGGTGGAGTGGTGGGGGAGTGGGGAGGAGAAGATGGTTGTAGCGGAGAGCTGTCCGGAGACGTCAGGAGCACCTGGAAATACATAAGATTAGATGAAACCGATACAAACCACTTCAATGAACACTAAAAAGCATATTCAAGAACCATTAAAAAGTATATTCAATTATCATTAAAATGTATATTCAATAAACATTAAAATGTATATTTAATAACAATTAAGAAGTATATTCAATAACTATTAAAATGTATATTCAATAACCATTAAGAAGTATATTCAATAAACATAAAAATTTTATTTAAGAACCACAAAAGTGTGTTCAATGACCATTAACACGTTGACTACGTATTGGTACATATGCGTACCACAAAATGTATTTCTCCAGGAGGTACGGTAGTGGTACATAATTCAGGTTGCCTAAAATCGGCCAAATCCGAGAACAAAAAAGGCCAAAAAAGGCCGATAGTTCAATGCATACTAGTTTATTTGTAGGTTCCGCTATAAAAATTCTATTTATTTTCTTTTTGCAGTATTTAAAACTTAATTAGGAAGTACCCCTATCATAAATTTTAGCCGGCCAACGCAATTGAGAAAAACTAAATCACGGAATTTGTCCGGAAAAAATGGCCGTCTGGCAACCCTGTTTAAAAACAGTACAAAAAATGAAATAATAGTACAAGATGAAGCAATCGTAGTCAACGTGTTAAAAAGGGGATGGAATAACCACAGAAATATGAATTCAATAACCGCTATGAAGTAATTAAAAACAAAAAATTTAATCAATAACCTTCTAGAAAGTAATTTAAAATGTAAACTCCACGCAATAACGGTGAGTAGGATAGATGGAAGTGATACAAGCATTGATGGAGCTGGAACTCGCACAGGAATTTTACGGGACGCCTTCCCGACTTGCAATGCATTGTTGCAAATGTTATAGAATTATAAGAAGCTCAATTTCAATACCCCGCTAATAATAATATGTAAGTCTTTTATAAGTCATTTACCATACAAGTGCTCATATTAACTTCATGAATAATTTGATCCATACATTTGTTGTACACCCTATACTGAGGGTAACACTCGTGACCAGACTCTTAGGTACAAATAGCATTGAATATATCCATATGAAAAGGGTTAAGAATTTAACTATGTTAACCCTCTATCATTGAATATTACAATATATCCATAATAAAAAGGGTTAATAATTTAACCATGTTAATCATCTGACAATGAATATTACATTATATCCATATAAAAAAGAATTAAGAATTTAACCATGTTAACCAGCTATCATTGAATACTACATTATATTCATATAAAAAGGGTTAATAATTTAACTATATTAACCATCTATCATTGAATATTACATTATATTCACATAGAAAGGGTTAAGAATTTGACTTAAAGAAGACACGAGCGTCCCTCACTTGTTGGTTGTGCATGGCGGCGAGGGGAGGGCGGGACAGCCCTCGTCCCTTCCCCACGTCCCCAGCCGGTGCAGGCTCCACGTCCCCACCTGCACACGTCTCGCATTAATGACTTTGTAAATTGACAGAAAAGTTCAAGCTGACCAACGAATTTATTACACCAAGAGTTAAGAATAAATTTATTGCTTTAGTACACTAATAGCAAATTCGCAGTTAAAAAAAATGACAAATTCGTACCTTCACGAAAATACTAATGTCAAATTCGCCGCCTCAAAAAAAAAATGATAATAATAAATAATAAAAAAAAAACAGAAATGTAAAATTCGCAGCTTCACAAAAAGAGAAATAGCAACAAATGAAGATAGTTAGTTAGTTAGTTAGTGGCCAAATGTTTACTAGCGCTTCAGCTATTAAGCTATCTCGCACCGAAAGTCAAGATGAACATCACCATAGAGGTGGAAGGTCTCAATTATTCATCACCCACAAGGGGCGGAAGGTCTCAGATGTCCAGCCCGCTGAAGCTGGCTCGAAAGAAGCAGCGTTAGCATCTCAGGGAGACGAAGTGACAAGGAGGGACAGGTGAAAAGCAACAGAAACGAAGACACTCGAACAAGAGGTCGCTTACACGGGACGTCGGCCGCCACTACATAATAACTTAATGTAAGGAATCCTACCTACATAATAACTTAACCCCACAACTGAGACCTGCAGTCAGACACCGCGAGCTCAGCGGTGGGGCGCTCAGGAACAATCCCCTTAGGAGCGCGAAATCCCATAGGACTTCTGACGAGCACAGACACCCGTCAGAAGTCCCCCCTGAGGGGGACAAATGAAGATAGAACTTTAGAGAAACAGTAATGGTGATGGGCAATAAACGTACCTCCATTGAGATGCATGTCTTCCTCATTAGCTTGGGGATTTGAGGGACTGATGTGAGGGGACGCGGGGGAAGGCGGGGGGGAACAAGGGCCCCCCACGGGGGCTGCGATGCCCCCCATCACGCCCCCCACAGGAGGGGTGAAGACGGTGGGGGAAGGGGCCATGTTGTTCGTACCTGCGGGAGAGTTTTTATTTCTCAAGATGTTCTATTTCTATTTTTGTAAAATTATATCAAATAATAATATCACTCTAATTATTTGATAAAAAAAAACACTTATGATTCAATAATAACGAAAATTCAACAATAATTAAAAAATTTTCGAATGACAATTCTTTTGGAGTGAATAAATGTTGAAGGATTTTTAAAATTTTACACATAAAATTAGGTTATTTCTCTCGTTGTTTTCTTTGTTATTACATTGTAAGTGAATTATCTTATAACACGAGTAAGCAGCAACGCAACAACATAACAATTATTCTGGATAAAAAATTCAGATTAAAATTAATTTATAATTTGCTCGCAATATTTAAATAAATTTTTGCCCACGCAACAGAAGACGCGACTTGTAACAAGAACGATGAAGTGATGAACACTCAGAGAAATAAACGAGACTTTGTCCAGATATCGATGCATGTCTTGTCCTTGTGTGGGTCATCTTAACTCAGTTTAGCCCGCGCTACAGAGAAAGTGTGTCTTAATTCGGACAACACTTATATGGGCAAAATAAATAAAAAATAAAGTAAATAGACGTGAAAAACGCACCTGGGACGGCAGCGTTAGCGTTGCCGTGGGGTTGGTGTAGGGTTGGGGGAGGGGTTGGGTGAAGGTGGTGGAGGGGATCGTACCCCGGGGGGTGAGGGGCTAGTCTTGGGGTCACCACAGATGGGGGGAGGTCCATGGGGGCCGGGGGAGGAGGAGGGGGTTGAGTTGAGGGAGGGGGAGTAGCGGCAACCATAGGTGGGGGATACGCAGCATCCACTCCCCCGAAGTGCTGGGGGGAGTTGGGGGGAGTGAACAGCAGGCGGCTGTAACACGCGTCGGAGGGCAGTGGGCCTCTTTTTCTCTTGACGGTGGGCCTTAGGCCAGGGCCTCCTGAGGCCATCGAAGGCCCAGGGTCAGAGGAGCCTCTCTTGGTCCCCCTACCTCCCCCAGCAGAGCCCCCAGCTCCCCCACTTGCTCCTCCCCCAGGCAGGTCCACGTCCGCTTCGTCAACCACCATCGACATTTTCTGCAATACAAACAAAACCATCAACACTCAGAAAAATTTGTGTCAAGTGGCACAACGACGAATGCAAATAAAAAAAAGGCAAGGACAGCTGAGAAAAATATAACATTATTGACAATAAAAAAACGTTTAAACTTTTTCGCATAATAATGCATTATTATATCGGGTTAATCAATTGATAGGAAAATGTAAATTGATATATAAGGACCAGGGGCATTTTTTTGACAATAATAAAAAAATGATAGTAGAAAATTTTGAACTGTAGAGAATTGCTTCGAAAACTTTAGCATGTTCACTAATAACTGAAGAATTATGTATGATGATAATAAATGATGTATGGATATACCTTGTCTATCTTGAACGGGTTGCCGAACATGTGCTGCCGTACAGGGGTGCTCTCGATCTCCCGCAGCGCAGGGGGCATCTTCTTCAGGTAGTCCTGGGGGCAGGGGAGGGGGCAGGGGGGGGCGAGGTTAGTTAGTTAACTAACTATAGTTTACGAGAGGAGAGCTTACATTTAAAGTAGAAGGAAGTAAAGTAATGACAAGTGTACAGTATACATGGGGGATGATAGTGTACAGTGGGGGAAAATAGTGTAATTTCTTCACCTGCTGGTGTACAGTGTGGGAGAAATACAGTTTGTTCACCTGATAATGTATAGTTTCACAGTTTGTTCACCTGATAGTTGCCCATCTGGCCGATAGGGCGGCAGTGTAGCTGGTCCTGGTCGCGGTCCAGTAGCAGGTTCGCCACACTCGGCTGGGGGGGGGGGAGAGGTCTTATCATTCATAATCATCAGCAACATTTTTACGATGAAAATTTTCTAACATAAAATTTTTCATTTTCGTACACAATAATAATGTTGACCTACGGTCGCAACACAGCTGAAGGCGATTAAGAATTGTTATCAAAAATCTTTATCTTCATAATAACAGCATAAAAATTCTATATTGGGGCAATAAAGAACGGTTCATTCGTATCACCAGTATCGTAAAAATATGTATTGTTCTAAATTCCATCGGGAATAAAGGTTTAATAATTTAAATTTGCTAAAAATGCTCAATCAAATAAAATAAAAGCTTTCACAGTTTAAAAATCTAAATTTGCTCTAAATGCTCAATCAATTGAAAAAAACTTTCACCTGCAAAAAGTTTGCTCGCATTCTAGCGAGCTGATCCAGCAGCGAGTGTCTGGAAATATCGAACGGGTTTCTGTACATTTGGGGGGCAGTGCCCCCGCCCCCCGTGACGGAAGGGGGCGCCCCAGGCCCCCCCAAGGATGGGGCAGTCAACGAGTCTGTGCTCAGCACGATGTGGAAATTGTTGAACTCGTTCACTTGCTCCCGTAAATGTGACAGCGGACCTGTGGGACAATATAGTTTGTGAAGATTATATTGGGTTATATTGAACCTCAAGGAATTTAAAAGCAAAGGAAACACCAAGCAAATTCACCATATCGATATTAAAAACGTTTCGGAGTCCAGCTCCATCAATATGGTGGATATGGTGAATCGGCGATATGGTGAATTTGCTTGGTGTTTTCTTTGCTTTTAAATTCCTTGTGAACTTGCGATATAAGCTGACTGATAATGTAAGTACTTATATTGAACGTCATTATATTGAATATTATATAATATACAAGATTATATATTATATAATATATAAGATTATATATTATATATAAATTATATTGCTTCATTTGAAAAATTGCAGAAAGAGTACATTTTCCCCAAGCTATATGATGTAAAATTAAGAGGAAATCACTTTTTACAATTGTTTCAGATCCGGTGGTCTATTAGATACATAGAAGTTGTCCATAGTTTGGAATAATCGCTACATGGAAGTTGTCCAATAGTTTATGACACAATTGGCCATAACCATAACATAACACATATTGGCCATAACACCAATTGACCATAACATAACACAATTGGCCATAAATGTAGCGGCCGCTACATTTTCAGTAGCAGTAGCGGCGCTACATTTAAGCAATTGTAGCGGTAGCGGTAGCGCCCGCTATATTTAGGACATGTAGCGGTAGCGGTCGCTACATTACAAAGTAGCGCTGCCCAGCTCTGGCCACAACAACAAAGCATTGATGGTGTTCACCATGAAGTGTATGGTTGGAAGTAAGGTGTCGGGGCAGCGGTCTCTTCATCACCACCTTCACCAGGCCGTTGTGGTCCCCCAGGTTGCAGGAGCTGCTGCTGCCGGCGCTAACGCTGCTCACGCGCTTCTCCACCTGTCAACATCATAAGTATTTAAATAAAATCAAAATAATGGTCAATTAATCAAGAAATTTATAAATTAAATTATCTTCGAACATTTCTGAGCGACATTAATAAAGATAAAACATGATATTAATCATAAGTATTCAAATAAGATGAAAATAATGATCAAGTTATCAAGAAATTTATAAATTAAATTGTCTTGGAACATTTCTGAGTGATATTAATAAAGTTAATACATGATATTATTATTTAGTGCACTATATACCTCAGCATATTCCTGAGTGACATTAATAAAGATAATACATGATATTATTATTTAGTGCACTATATACCTCAGCATATTTCTGAGTGATATTAATAATGCTAATACATAATATTATTATATAGTGCACTATATACCTCAGCACAGATGCGGTCGTACTCGACCTTGCCCTGGTTCTTGAGCTTCTTGAGGTGGTTCAGTGATATTAATAATGATATTACATAATATTATTATACAACGCACTATATACCTCAGCACAGATGCGGTCGTACTCAACCTTGCCCTGGTTCTTGAGCTTCTTGAGGTGGTTCGAGACCTGGAAGCTGAGGCAGTTGTCCAGGTTGTCGGGCACCAGGTTGTGGGCGCCCATGCGGGCCAGGGCACGACGCAGGGGCTGCGCAGGATAAAATTGCTCTAAATTATGAAAGTAAAATAGCCTATGTAAGGTCAGAATTCATGCTAAAATATTAAAGTATATTTCACATTAACTATAAGGTAACATGACATTATTATTATTCGCTCGCTTGGAAACAGCGCAATGCGCTGTTTCCAAGCGATGCGTATTGTTGCATCAGTTGCAGCGTATTGTTGCAGCAGTTTATTTCATGGTCGATAGTGCGGCAGCATGGAGCCAATATATCTCACATTAGTTTAGTACCGGTATGCCAGTATGGTCCTAAAGTAGCACCATCATGACTCACATTAGCATAGTAGGGCGGCATGGTCCTAAGGTAGGTATCGAACTGCTGCCTCCACTCCTTGCTGGGTTTCTGTCTGTGAGTTTTAAACAGGTCCTCCAGCAGTGGTAGCAGCACAGGGTAGTTGTAGGGCATCACGAACAGGTTCACGCATGACAGCGACGTGCTCGCCTTCAGGTACCCGAACGGGTGACCTGCGTCGCTGTTCTTCACGCTGCTGCTGTTCGCCACGAACACCTGTACATGTGGACGTGATTGTTTATATATCTCATGTCTTCTGGACGCGAATACCTGAACATGTGTACGTGATCATTTATTAATCTCATGTGTTCTGGACATGAATACCTGAACAAGGTCATGAATATCAGCTCCATAACCACCTTATACTACAACAATCACCACCATTACCTACGCAAGCTACCAAGAATAGTTTTTTAAACCGAGATGCATGATTGGGGGGCAGGGTGGAATTCAGGAGATGTGATACATGAACAAGTGAACATAACAAACTGGATCTAAAAATCTATTGAATCTAATTTTCCTTTCCTGATATTTTAGATCATACATGAACAACTGTACATAGCAAATTTGATCTAAAAAAACCAATACTTAATTTTCCTTTCCTGATATTTTAGAGCTGTTTTAAGTTACTAAACTGTCAGTATATTAAATATATGAATCACCGTCTTCTGTAATTATACTACAGTTGCGACACCCACCTGCCAACAGACGGTGGGCTGGCGCCGGTGTAGGATGAACTGCGTCAGAGGGGAAGGCTCGAGCTCGTACTTGTCGAATGGTAAGTTGTCTATGACCATGGGCTCCTGGCTGGTGCACGTGAACTTCACGTTCGGGTGGGCCGAGCGAGCGGGCTGTAAAATTTCCAATATTATTATTCAGTTCATATATATGTACTGATTCTACATTAATTAATTTATACAAGTTTATTAATATCGAGTTCCTAGACAATGCAGGTGAACAATGCAGGTGAACGGGCTAAAAAAATTTTCTGATCGTGAAAATTATTAAATTGTTGCTTAAAAGTAATTTAAACGAAATAAACGTTATTTGCGTGAGGGACCAACTATTAAACCGTTGCTTAAAAGTAATTTAAACGAAATAAACGTTATTTGCGTGAGGGATCAACTATTAAACCGTTGCTTAAAAGTAATTTAAACGAAATTAAAGCGCAATTAACGTTATTTGCATGAAGGTATCAACATACGAGTGTGGCCGTATGGATGTCAGGCCAGAAGGACTCCGGAATGGGCCAGAACCCTGTAGGACTTCCTCGTTGTGCAGGTCTTGGTACGTATATCATCTTACGGCAGTTGTACCACGCTGGTGGTGGTATGGTGGTGGTGCTACCACTGCTGGTGGTGGTGACGGTGTGGTTGTTAGAACAACCTGAGGCATTTAATGGCGTCGAGGAGCTGTGACCTGTTCAAGGGAAACAGACAATATCGCTTGAATAAGACTTGAAAAAATATATATAATTCATAGGTGATAAAATGAATAAAATAATTCGTCGAAAGTTATAACTTAAAGTAAGTAGAAAAATTTCTTTGAATTCTAGTTTTCATTCACAAAATTGTTTGATCATAAACGCTTTCCGGTCAACAGTGTTTAAAGATGCATAAAAATTTACCAGGAAATGGCAAGTCTAGGAAAAAAATCTTCGAAGAACCTGCGGTTGTTTGAAAAAAATTAGCCTATCTTGTACTGTTCTGTCATTCATGTGTTTATTACTCATTCATTCAGCTATGTATGAAATAATTCATTAAACGCGAGATCACCCAACACTATAAATGCCACGTATGTTATCAGTCATTCACTCGAAGAAATGAGTGGGTCATGTTGTCCAAATAGCGACCCACTTTCTTACCCGCAGCAAGAGCAGAGAGTGGACGTAGCACTGATTCGCCGTTTTACAGGTCAAACTGAGTCAGTTTGACCCGCCACACAAGCGCAGAAAAAACATCGCTATTTGGAGAAAGTCTCATTCATTTCTCTGGATGTAGCTGCTACCGTCGAGGTTTAGCTAAATGTGACAGACGTAGCGACAGTGGCAGAGACAGAGTGATGCAGTGACAGTGGCAGAGACAGAGTGATGCAGTGACAGCGGCAGAAACAGAGTGATGCAGTGACAGTGGCAGAGACAGAGTGATGCAGTGACAGGGACAGAGTGATGCAGTGACAGTGGCAGAGGCAGAGTGACGTAGTGACAGTATGGCAGACTGGCGCAGTGTCAGAGTAACAGAGCACTCACCGTTGCTCTGGGAGCTGCCAGAAGCATAGTTGTCAGAGTTGCTGCCGTAGATGTTCTCTTTGTCGACCTCGACGATGTCAGGCAGCGGCGCGTCTTTGCCTGCGTAGGGGGAAATTTTGTAGTGCAAATCTCAAACTAAAATATTGAGAGATATCTCAATTTTAGAAAAATGGATGGGTCATATTGTCTCAATAATGACACACTTTCTGCGCTGATGCTTTTTTGCCGGGCCATACCGGATGACCTAGAGAAGTGCATCACACATTGTACAAAGTCCCACATATATGCCAGGCTGCTGGACATAGAGTTCTTATAGGCTACATGGATCTCAGCGACATATCCCATCTCTTGACTTATACCGATGTCAGAACCCACTACCATGCAGCACTATGACCCACCTTCATGTACCACTAACTACTATGACCCACCTTCATGCACCACTAACTACTATGACCCACCTTCATGTACCACTAACTACTATGACCCACCTTCATGCACCACTAACTACTATGACCCACCTTCATGTACCACTAACTACTATGACCCACCTTCATGTACCACTAACTACTATGACCCACCTTCATGCACCACTAACTACTATGACCCACCTTCATGCACTACAGGAGGTGGGTCAGGACCGCTCTTCTCAAAGCTGATGACGACGCCGCTCTGCACCTTCCCCACGAGACTCTCCACGCAGTTCTGGAACACGCGGTGACTGCGCACGCAGTACGAACGACCTGAGACAATTGTCATCATTAGTGTAAACTCTTTTGTGCCTTGGGGGACCTTACAGATAATGATAAGTAAAGATTATTATATCATTTACTTGTGCACGTAGTTCGTCCGCCCTGGCCCATTTAAGATAATTATAATCAATTATCATTCAATCATTTGGCAATTATATAATTTAACAAGACCAGCTCATGTCAATTCAGTACATTCGTGTCAATAAGAAAACCTCAAATGAGAATAATCAAAGATCCCATATTGGTCATAATCATTTAATTTAGCACGCAGCACGACCGCCCTATGAAGAATACTCAACGATCTTATAATCAATTAGTTCTGTGGCATCACTGAGCAGCGTTATCTTAGTTCTGTCTTAGTTAAGACTATGTGATAAAAGTCTTAGGTTAGGAAAGAGTTATCTCAGTAAATTATTATTATCTTAGTTAAGAATATGTGATAAAAGTCTTAGTTAGGAAAGATTTATCTCAGTAAATTAGTATTATCATAGATAAGACTATGTGATAAAAGTCTTAGTTAGGAAAGATTTATCTCAGTAAATTAGTATTATCTTAGTTAAGACTATGTGATAAAAGTCTTAGTTAGGATAGAGTCATCTCAAGTAGTATTATCTTAGTTAAGACTATGCCATCAAAGTCTTAGTTAGGATAGAGTCATCTCAAGTAGTATTATCTTAGTTAAGACTATGCCATCAAAGTCTTAGTTATGATAGAGTTATCTCAAGTAGTATTATCTTAGTTAAGACTATGTCATCAAAGTCTTAGTTAAGATAGAGATATATCAAGTAGTATTATCTTACTTAAGACTATATGACAAAAGTCTTAGTTAAGATAGAGTTATCTCAGTAAAGCAGTATTATCTTAGTTAAGATAATGACCTCCCGTGGCGTCGCAGAGACGGTCCAGGTGGGAGTTGTCGCTGGGGACGATGCTGCTGCAGGCGCTGGCGCTGCCGCCGTTGGGGGGCGTAGGAGGAGGGGGCGGGTCCTGGGCGGGGGTGCCTGCAATATGGGGAAATTCAAGTGACTAAATTAAACTAACAACTTAACAATGAAAATATTTAATCGAAATATACGCGGCTACGTTCAACTGTCGTAGGAAAAGGTCTTTGAACGAGGGAACTTGAACTGGAAAATTTCGAATTCATTCCTAAACCAAATTCTGATGCGGGCCAGACTGTGCATCAGGCGCCGCCCAGGACTCGAGGAGCGTGTTAATCAGCCACTAATTTCCGCTTTGGCTCACGGTTTGAAGGGCAGCCTCTGGGCAGCTAGCAAGCTCGGCATGACTCGGCTCGGCCAACCCTTGTCATACTCTCAGGCGACTATCAAGTCAGAAAAGAGGTTCTGACCAGAAGCTGATTTCGATAAGGTGGCCAAGCTGACCCAGAATAACTAAGCCGAGTGTAGCGACTCCTGAGCAGAATCGACTCCCATTTGTACACAATAATAAGGCTAATTGCAGTTATAATAAATGGTAAAATAATTTAGTTAAATCTATGTATAATTAAGATAGTTATTACATACCAGTCAGGCGTAGTACGAGAGCAAACAACCGCTGGTCCCATCTGTACATCTCCCGCGTTAGCTCAGCCCCAGGGATGCTGGAGCTCTTGTGTCCACTGAACATCTGGCGACATCATGCCAAACAAATTAATATAGTAATCATACTCATAATATTGCAATAATATTAATAATAATAGTAATACTAATATTGTACACTGTTGTAACAAATGCATTTATTTACATGCCGACGCAGGCTTCCTACCTCACGTTTCATCACGCTTTGGACGAGTAAGGAACGTAGCAATACATGTACACGTAGGAGGATAGCACGTAAGAGTAGGATGACACATAACAAATAACAATGGGATAACAATGTGATAACAATGAGATAACAATGAGATAACACGTAGCAGTGTCATACCTCGTCCTGGACGCCGGCGGGGGCGGTGAGGCGCCCACCGTCCGTGATGACGACGATCAGGGACGGCTCGAGGAAGAAGGGCGACCTGCCTGCGCCATACGTGTCGATACCTGCCATACATCAGACACTTGTTGCCACACTTGTTGCCACAACACTCGTTGCCACAACACTTGTTGCCACAACACTTGTTGCCACAACACTTGTTGCCACAACACTTNATTCTGTTGATGTTGCTGCTCACCTGACTGCATTCTGTTGATGTTGCTGCTCACCTGACTGCATTCTGTTGATGTTGCTGCTCACCTGACTGCATTCTGTTGATGTTGCTGCTCACCTGACTGCATTCTGTTGATGTTGCTGCTCACCTGACTGCATTCTGTTGATGTTGCTGCTCACCTGACTGCATTCTGTTGATGTTGCTGCTCACCTGACTGCATTCTGTTGATGTTGCTGCTCACCTGACTGCATTCTGTTGATGTTGCTGCTCACCTGACTGCATTCTGTTGATGTTGCTGCTCACCTGACTGCATTCTGTTGATGTTGCTGCTCACCTGACTGCATTCTGTTGATGTTGCTGCTCACCTGACTGCATTCTGTTGATGTTGCTGCTCACCTGACTGCATTCTGTTGATGTTGCTGCTCACCTGACTGCATTCTGTTGATGTTGCTGCTCACCTGACTGCATTCTGTTGATGTTGCTGCTCACCTGACTGCATTCTGTTGATGTTGCTGCTCACCTGACTGCATTCTGTTGATGTTGCTGCTCACCTGACTGCATTCTGTTGATGTTGCTGCTCACCTGACTGCATTCTGTTGATGTTGCTGCTCACCTGACTGCATTCTGTTGATGTTGCTGCTCACCTGACTGCATTCTGTTGATGTTGCTGCTCACCTGACTGCATTCTGTTGATGTTGCTGCTCACCTGACTGCATTCTGTTGATGTTGCCGCTCACCTGACTGCATTCTGTTGATGTTGCCGCTCACCTGACTGCATTCTGTTGATGTTGCCGCTCACCTGACTGCATTCTGTTGATGTTGAGAACATCAAACACATTCCTGATGGCCGGCCCTATGGTGCTGAGGCCCGTGGCACGGATGTTCTTCAGTTCGTTCATGAATGTGGCCAGGTTTTCCTTCCAGCCCGCCTGCATAACCGACATAGACATCACTAAACTGTTCTCAACAACTATTAACTTCTGTGCATTACAATTCCTTACTTATTATACTAATATTTCTTTGTATTAACAACTATTTATAACTCACTAGGGTTGTACTGCATTTATTATACAACACAAAACACTTTACTAGAAATTAGTCTAAAAACATCTGATCTTTGAAGCAATGCGAGTCAAAATTCGCTTGAACTAATCCCATCTTCACGCTCTTCCAACATATTTCAAAGAATTTATGAAGAATGCAGGAGGTAGCGCAATTCACATATAAAATTTATGGAAGATATAGGGCAATAATTTGCTATAATCATTATTTCAGGAGTTCATGTCCGATCACTTCATTTGTTGTTGAGGAGATAAATACAGTTTTCGTGATCAATTGATCATTCATTACATTACCCTCTTAGGCTCTTACATCGGTATTTTCACATTTGACACGAATCCAATTAGTATAAGTTTTCGAAATTGAATTAATAAGGTATTACTAAACATTACTACAGAAATAATATATATCAATAATAATATTAATATATTAGTAAATAATTGTAATGCTTATAGGCACCTATTACGGAGCGAATTATGAATTTATAACGAGAAATAACCTACCTTGATATGGTTGGGCGGATCTTCTGCAGTGAAAAGCATGTAGCGGTCGCCTCGGCTGTCCGGGCACCGCTGTCGTAACTGTAACACAAATACATCATCAGTTTATATGGAATGTAAATTCCAGTGTCGTGTTAAATTATTAAAAAGTGAGCATGCCTGTCGTGCAGTACGTTTGGTAACATCTTAATAGGGAGATATTTTGCATTATGTTAAACATAAGACTGGTCACACGACTCGATTTAGGGATATAGCCTCTGTACGCTATCCCTCAGTCTCCATTACAATTACAAAGGTTCGTTCTATAATCCATCTCCAAAGGTTCGTTCTATACGGTAATCCATTTCCAAAACTTTGTTCTATAATCCATTTCCAAAGATTCGTTCTATAATCAATTTCGAAGATTCGTTCTATAATCAATTTCCAAAGATTCGTTCAATAATCCATTACCTAAGGTTCGTTCTATAATCCATTTCCAAAGGTTCGTTCCATAATCCATTTTCAAAGGTTCATTCCATAATCCATTTCCAAAGGTTCGTTCCATAATACATTTCCAAAGGTTCGTTCTATAATCCGTTACCAAAGGTTCGTTCCATAATCCATTACCTAAGGTTCGTTATATAATCCATTTCCAAAGGTTCGTTCCATAATCCATTTCCAAAGGTTCGTTCCATAATCCATTTCCAAAGGTTCGTTCCATAATCCATTTCCAAAGGTTCGTTCCATAATCCATTTTCAAAGGTTCGTTTTAATATTAACTTCCAAAGGTTCATTCTATACTCAATTACCAAAGGTATGTTCTATTATTCATTTCCAAAGGTTCGTTCTATAATCCATTTCCAAAGGTTCGTTCTATTATTCATTTCCAAAGGTTCGTTCTATAATCCATGCACGTCCAAAGGTTCGTTCTATAATCCATTACCAAAGGTTCATTCTATAATCCATCTTCAAAGGTTCGTTCTATAATCCATTTCCAAAGGTTCGTTCTATAATTAATTCTCAAAGATTTGTAATATAAACCTACAGGAACTTAGAAGCCGTGGCGTGGATGAAAAACTTGCGTACAACGATCATGCATTGGTGTTCACAGTGAGGTATATGTTCTTGGTACATATGCCTGGTAAATGTTCAATTGTCGATGAAAGTAAATGGAACCACGAAATATAATCAATATTTTATATACGACATAGACTTAACAGATTATTTGAGATAAGTTATGACTATCCTCTCTCGTAGTGCGCTGTATAAGCGAGTGCCATTCACACGTAGAAGGGTTGGCAGGCGATGTAGTGTACAGGCAATATCCTGCTTCCTCTGTACAGGCGACTGTGCCGCCACGTCTGGCATTCCGTTGCTGAGCACACATGCAGGCGAGGGTTGGGTCAGTAGTCCTCGCCTGTGTCACAGTGCTGAGGTCACAAGCAGGCGAGGGTTCGGTCAGTAGCCCTCGCCTGTGTCACAGTGCTGAGGTCACATGCAGGCGAGGGTTCGGTAAATGGCGCTTATATATAAAAAAGTGGCTAATGTTTAGCTACCGTCAACCAAACAGATCAAAAATGATTATGCATTAATCCCTTCAATGTCGTGAAAATATCATTTTGATAATAAATTTTAATAATCAATTATAATAATAAATGCTACCAGTAAAAATCGAAACGCGAAATTCAGTTGAAATCTATTTTAATATTTTGCCGTTCAAGAATGACGATCGCATTCAAAACTCATGCTTAAATAATAAGAGAATTGGATCTAAGTTCTTCTAGGTTCTAGGTGCGGATGGTTCATCATGGTTCATCTGACCGCTAAGGTTCATATTTTGCTATTCAGGGGCCATGAGAACCAAGTTCATTTTTCACCTACGGTTAATTTTACTGCTACTAAAAGGTTAGGTGAACCAAATTCACCTAACCCGAGGTTGATACTACTAATCAAGGTTCGCATGAACCAAGCTTCACCACAGCCATTATAAGTCATCACATTAACACGAATTATAATATAATTGTCTGTCTGCCATACTGAATGAACACTTGGCAACCCGAAAAACTTGGAATTATAAATCGATGGCGTTTTGTGTTCCATTGTCGTTATCTCCTTCGTTAACTTTTCAATTTTTTTTCGCGTATATTTTGATTTTCACTACTGATTGTACTTATATTGCAAACGTTTTTGGAATTGATGATGGAGCATGTCTTCAAAACGTTTTTTGAGTTGATGATGGAGTATGTCTGCAAAACGTTTTTTGAGTTGATGATGGAGTATGTCTGCAAAACGTTTTTTGAGTTGATGATGGAGTATGTCTGCAAAACGTTTGTTGAGTTGATGATGGAGCATGTCTACAAAACGTTTGTTGAGTTGATGATGAAGCTGATCTCCAAAAGATTTTGATGAAGATATGGTGAATTCATTGCGCGTTTTCTAGGCCTTTAAATTTTTCGAATACGTTATTCACAATCTTTCATTAGATCCACAAAAATCATTATAGTCTGCGCTGAAACAACTCATAAAAAACGGAACATGCATATTTAAAATACCGGTCAAGTCGATTAGCAATACGAGAACGCACTCACAGAAATGAGCGAAATTCTGTCCAAATGGCGATGAACCTTTTGCCCTTTTGTGAATCATATACCGACCCAGTTTGGTCCGGCAAAAGAATGCAACAGTGCTACGTCTGCTCGCTGCTTAAGCTTTGGTAAGGAAGTGTGTCAATATTTGGACAAGATGACCCATGCACTGATATTCTGAGCGACAGCATCATTAAATTAAACGAGCGATATATAACTCAATAACAAGCGTGGGACCCACGGAATATTAACAATTTCAAGAAAATAATTAAGTCTCGCGAACGCAGTACTTTTTATTTCAAAAACAAGCAAAAAGAATCCATGAAATGGAAGATACACGCGAAAATAATTCACGGAATAACAACAATTTTAAGAAAATAATCATGTCTCGCGAACGCAGTACTTTTTAATTCAAAAGCAAGCAAAAGGAATACACGAAATTGAGAATACACGCGAAAATAATTCACGGAATATATAGTAACAATTTCAAGACAAAAGTCTCGCCAACGGAGTCGAAAAACGCGGTACCATTGCACCTGCAATTTCATACTATAACCAAAATTAATTCTATTGAATTAACGAATTTATAGTTCGGCTCTTCGATCAGTGACGCGACGGCGAATTCTCGATTAGAACCGGACACATTCTAATCACTAGGAACTTGAATTAGATATTCAAATAATAATGAGATCACCAAAAAAGTGAGCGATAATAGCATTATTAAGAAGGTGTAAAGTAGCGTCTCTAGACTCAGAAAAACAAGTGAGCATTTGTCCCAAAATATAAGTGTCACTTTTGCCTTATGTGCGTCATCCTGACCCTGTTCGGAACAATAAAAAGGTTTATCAGCTGTACCTCTTTATCGATACGATAAACAGGTATACTGAGTGTTTCGATAATTGGACAATATTATTTGAGTGTATTATATTGTTGAAACGCTGGAACGCTGCGCGGGAATGTCTCATTAGTGAGATGATGTAAAACAGCGTCTCTATTGCATGCCGAAAATTATTAATGCCGCTGCAATTATTCAACATTTCGTGCAGCATTTGTTAGATTGACTCATTGATTAAATGAAAAACTCGAGCCTAAAATGCCCATCGTCCAGCACGAATGTTCAACACATTACAATGACCAGCAGCAAACATGTTAAACGTAAACACATTAACCCTAAACACGTTAACAATAAACACGTTAACCATAAACACGTTAACCATAAACACGTTAACCATAAACACGTTAACCGTAAACACGTTAACCGTAAACACGTTAACCATAAACACGTTAACCGTAAACACGTTAACCGTAAAAGCGTTAAACATAAACACGTTAACCGTAAACACGTTAGCCGTAAACACGTTAACCGTAAAAACGTTAAACATAAACACGTTAGCCGTAAACACGTTAGCCGTAAACACGTTAACCGCCGACACGTTGACCGTAGACACGTTGACCGTAAACACGTTAACCGTAGATACGTTAACCACCAACACGTTGACCGTAGATACGTTAACCACTAACACGTTGACCGTAGATACGTTAACCGTAAAAACGTTAACCGTAAACACATGTTAAACATAAACACATGTTAACCGTAAACACATGTTAACCGTAAACACATGTTAACCGTAAACACATATTAACCGTAAACACGTTAACCGTAAACACGTTAAACGTAAACACGTTAACCGTAAACACATTAACCGTAAATACATTAACCGTAAACACGCAACAGGTCTAGCGACAATATAGTTTACAATGCACCATATATTTACTTCTCGTGCTGCAGGCACGTCAAATATCCCTCAATAAAGAAGAAGAGGTAAGGCGCCCCAAATGTCTTCCTGGGTTCAGTAATTTGCCGCGGTTAATACGAAGGTGAACTTTGTGCAGGGGCTTGCTGAGAACGTGGTAGCTTGAGACGAGCTCATACATTACGCAAGTGACGTGGAAGAAGTAACGTTGATTCTACATTTTTTAAACGACGCGTTGTTTCAATGAAATCATCACATACCGGTAATAAATGTTGTTTCAATAAAATAAACTCGTAATCAAGGATGTTTCAACGATATCAAAACGTAATCAACGATGATTTAAAGAAAACAAAACGTAATCAACGTTGTTTCAACGAAATAAACTCGTAATCAACAAGGTTTTAACGAAATAAACTCGTAATCAACAAGGTTTCAACGAAATAAACTCGTAATCAACAAGGTTTCAACGAAATAAACTCGTAATCAACAAGGTTTCAACGAAATAAACACGTCATCAACAATGTTTCAACGAAATCAACACGTCATCAACAATGTTTCAACGAAATCAACACGTCATCAACAATGTTTCAACGAAATCAACTCGTAATCAACGTCATTTGAAAAGATGGAAGGTGCAGAGATATGCGTGAGGCGTAGGGGGCACCGCCCCCAAGTTGACCCACATGTTGGCAACATGTGGGTCAGTAGCAGTGGATGTGTGTGACGTCACCACACGCACTGAAACAATTCAAACACTCGGACATGACAAAAAAATTAAGAAGTGAGAGTGTGAAATGTGGGTAAAACTATTTTTTCAGCACTGTATTATGTACGCTTGATTAATTACTTTTAGTTTATTGACCTTTAGGGATAGATTGTGAACAAAATTTTGACACCAAGCGTTAGTTTTACTGTCACCGTTGCTAGTTAACCAGTTTATGACACATGCTATACTCAAAAAATTTATTGCATCAAAAATCGCCTTTAACGTGGACTGAATAACATAAATATACACTGAGAGAATGGATGAATTTTTCCAAAAAGCGATGCACTTATTACGCTTATGTAGGTAACCCGAACCCAGTTTGGCCCGGCAAAAGGGCGTATCAATGCTACGTTCATTAAGTGTGTCACTATTTGTACACTACGTCTAATTCCTTACTCTGATCATAGGCTTTACCTTTCAATCTTCAAAATATGATTAACGCATACGACAAAAAACGTTATATATAAAAGCATCGTTAATTGCGGCGTCGGTACGAGCCCGGCAGTCGGAAATGTCGGACGAGACTCGTAAGGAAATGATCAGGTTTCTTATTATGAGCACACGGAGAAAAAAAATATAACTCAGTGCTCACTGCAGTGAGTGACAGAGAGCGCATTTTCTCGTCGACGAAAACGTGAAGTCACGGACGGACAGACGGGCAGACAGACGGAAAGACAGACAGACAGACGGACGGGCAGACAGAAGGACGGACAGACAGACATGGCGAGCACAATAGTGCATTTTTTTAATAAATGAGAAAATGCGCTAAAAAGTGAGATTGTGTCCAAATGGTGATGGTCTTCTGCGCTGTTTGGGTCCTAGCTGACCCAGTTTAGCCCAGCAAAAGGGCCTATCAGAGCTACGTCCTCCCCCTGCGAGCGATGGGTGAGTAAGTGAGCCATGATTAGGACATTATGACCCATTTAATTTTCATGGTGCATGCAGCTGATGTATGAAGATGTGTTTACCATTACACGAGAATGGCAAACTGACCAGTTATCTTCACAATCTCTATTAATTATTATTAAGGTAATAATAGTGATGGCAGCATAATATTAGGATTATTTCAAATATGTTAGAAATGATTTCCAGCTCTAACGAAGGATGTCAATGATAACAATGATGTTGAAAAAAAAACAATTTAAAGAATGATAACAAATAATTCAAACAATGATAACAAATAATTTAAAGAGTGATAACAAATAATTTAAAGAGTGATAACAAATAATTCAAACAATGATAACAAATAATTTAAAGAATGATAACAAATAATTTAGAGAGTGATAACAAATAATTCAAACAATGATAACAAATAATTTAAAGAATGATAACAAATAATTTAAAGAATGACAAATGATGATAGCAAGACGGAAGTAAGGCAGATCAGGAGACTGTTAGCGACCCGAAACATTTTAGACGCGCTTTGTTTTATTGTTTTGTCATACAGCGAATACTTTCCGGGGATACTAGGAGAAATGAGTGAGACATTGTCCAAATAAGAAATAAATTATTTGCCCTCCAGTGGGTCAACCTGACCCAGTTTAGCACGGCAAAAGAGGGTATCGGTGCTACGTCCGCTCTCTGCTCGAGCTATGGGTAATCAACTATTATTGTTTGGACATTTTGATCCATTTATTTTTCTGAGTGTATCATAACGAGGACGACACAAACTTCCCGAGGGCAAACGAGGGGAAACTGGCACAACTGAGGGGAGGGGAGGGGGCTGGAGGCTGGCCTCCCTGCCAGAATAAAATCATCCTTTTATTAATAAATAATTTCAAAAATTACTTAAAGAAATTAAACCGGCATTGTTCATCATCATAAATTTTAGAAATTCGCTGTACAAAATCAAACCTGCGTCGATTTTCTTTGCAATTTTTACAATTTTCCGCAAATAATTGAATTGACATTGTCATACATATACTATTTAAAAAAAAATGAAAATAAGTTCGCTGCACTTTTTATTAGAAATTATTTAAAATTTCAGAAAAAAATACCGTAAAAATGAAACGGTCATCGTTCTTCAACAGTAACAATAAAAATTCACAGCAAAAAAATAATAAAACGGATATCGTCGTCAATCAGCAAATTGTGAAACTCGTCACAGAAAATGGGGCCTGCGGCGGCCTTGCCGACGCAATTTTGCCGCAGTCTGCCCAGGAGGTGCCGGGTTAACGGCATGTTGGGCTCATCTTGAACGAATTAATAATTATTATTAATAATTAATTACTAATTATTATTAATAGCTCGTCTAGTAACCATGACAATATAAATTAACGAAAAATTCAGCGACCTTAAATTCAAAATTTTACGCAGAAAAAAAATAATATCCGGGCGACGTGATAGGTATATTGTTGATCAGCAGTTAGTAGAATACACACAATAATAAAACTAGGTCTAATATAAATATAGTCTAACGACACAAAATATACAAGTAATATAATCTAACAACGCACACCTGAGCTCCATTTAACGAAGAGTGTACAAGAACATCCCACACACGAACTAAAAGCACTCATGATTTTCCCTTTTTTTCAGGTCTCATTGTGGCAATTTCATGTCAATGCTGACTAAACAGAGTGTGCGCTGAATATATTACTAAAACACATAAAAAAGGCTTATTTGAAGACATTACTTTCGGAAAATATATCCCGACTTTTCGTGTGACACACGAAATAATCACACACAGTGATGGCTATGATGATAATCCTAGTCATCACTGAATTAACAAAAATGGTTAATGAATAAATGAAGAGAACATATACAACGTTCATATGTATATGGGCACAAACAACGTATGGGAAAATGGAAAAAAAGTAATACCGGTCGTATTTCTTGAAAAAGGCGTCGCAAGAAGATCGAAAAATGACTGACGCATGAGCTGCCACACCGAGTAAATAACATTAGATTTCAATTCGATAGTTAACTGAATAAACGATTAATATGAAAGAATATTCAACGCAGTAAAATACAATTGCAAATTTAAGAAATGATTAATGTTTTACAAAAAAAATAAGCTGACTGACTTTTGAAGCAGTTCAACTTGATAATTATTATGTACGGTAGCGGGAGCTCGACTCCGGTCACTAGAGCGTAGCTTTCAAACGACGTTTGCCCGCTAGCCTGAGACTTCTCATCTACTAATACTATGTCACTCAAGTCACCACAGCACTTATGTCGCCAATCTTTAAAAGAACGATCTATTATAAAGAAACTAAACTGAAGAAATACTTTAAGCAAGATAAAACAGCTTAGTGGTCAACATGTGGTAAGCAAGCCATTAAATCGAAGTAGTGATCTATTTTACGTAGTTTTACTGGCGAGTTGAGTACAGTACCTGATAAAAAGGCGACTCGTATCAAATTAAAGGTTCAATATCTTAGTATTTGCAAGATGGTCTTCTAATCTAGCCATATAAAAATTGCCAAGAATACACTCATGTATAATAGATATTTTAATTCCGTGATAAAGTTTCTTAACTAAAGAGAAAGTTCTAATTCCGCGAAAAAGTTTCTTAACGAGAAAAGATTCGCGAGTAAAACTGAAATAAAACTTTCTCGAGCCGCCAAGCATTAATTTTGATTTAATTGCTCAGGGGATCACTTTCCGGCTAATAAATACCCTCGCCACCACAGCGACATTATGGATGGGAAGCAACCAGCTGAACCTCAGCTCTTTCATCACTCCCTCCAATACACTTGTGCAAAAATGTCAACACAAATCATTCAGGTTCGGTAAATAATCTGAAAAAATTACCGCAATAAATCGATGGGTATTCTATTTATCTTTCTAACAACTTATGAAAACGCGTCCTACGACCTCGTTAAATTATCAGGACCACTTGAAACAAACGTCAATTTGGCCATAATGCATTACCGTTAAAAGATCCGAACAATCCTCAAGTTCTCCACCATGACTAATTAATGAGGCTCAACTAAACTAGATCTGCTGACATCTCAAGTCACGGGAGGAAACAGTCGAAAATATTAAGTAGTCTACCAAGTGATTAAAACCACCAATCAAGATGTCAAATCTAACACAACAGTACTAACAGTGACTAAGGATAGACGAAAGTCCTCAACGGAACAGACCTCAGAATTTTTCCGGTAGGAATAACATTACACGAGGTATGAAAGACCTTCGAGGTCTACAAATCATGTTCAAGTATAACACGCTACCATGCTGCCGCGCCGGACTCGCACGGCACACTGAGCTCAAGAACACTTTCCAAGTACATCTAGGCAACGTACAGACGCATTCGGACAAAACCGACACGCAAATAGAACACTTGGCTTATGAAATGGAAAAATACAGACTCAATATGAGGCAAATGAGTCAAGCAATAACGAGAATAAAATATAATACTACTATTTCATTCACAAAAAATAACATAACAACCATTGCGGTGATGAAAAAATACATTGATTAAGGCTACGTGGCAACCTTACCCCACCTCACCTTTACGAAACTCTCCACGGCGCCTTTTGCTACATCCAATAACGTTGGTCTTGCCCCAATAAATGTTTTCTGATTCATAGAACCAGATGTGTCAATTAAAAACACTATGATAGTCATTATTGATTATCAGAAAGACGTTGCACATCAAAATAAGATCCCGTTAACGAGATTTATAGACATGCCTAGGGAGCGATATTTCTACACAACCTCACACACTGATTGCGCCTTCGAAACTGACCGAATCAGTGTTGCCTATGTTTCGCGATTTGCAAACAATCATCAAAATTAAGTCATATGATCTCTATAATAAGATTTCATTAAAACAAATGTTAGTACAATATAACTACCAGTTTGTTTTGTTTTTCGTATGATGAGTACAGATGATTCACGAGGTGTCCTTAAAGCAAGTAACCGGAAAATTCAATGTTTCCCTACGAACGGTTCGTCTCTCTCATTCATTCTTTCTCTCCCTCTCTGCCTCATTCTTCTTTCTCGCTATCACGTTTGCACGTCCATGATCACCGACGTTGAAACCAAACAACCGTGTCGGCTAATGACTAACCGATTACACAACTTTTTTTTCGACAGCAAAAACTCAATACAATTTGGAATATAAACACAAAATATATATAATACGGATAATCGAAGCGAAACAGCAGGAGGAAGAAAATTACCTAGGCTATAGAAACTGGTAACAATTTCACACCGTTATTTGGGATCGAGAATTGAGACGCCGCATTGAAAATCTGTGATCAGATTTCTAGATCAAAACAGTGATCAGAAAATAGTATGTCTTTTTTTTTTTAAGAATTGGGCTTCGTGGTTCAGCCCTTGATACAATTTATTCCATTTCCCGGGTACCTTAAATTAATTGCTAATACTCTAAATGCATTCGAAGAGAGTAAATGCTTTAAAAGTCAATACTTCGCTCTGTATATTCCATGCTTGATGTTGCAAGTATTTCCAACCGCAGCTCCTAGATAATGTAAATAAAATGTGCAAGTAGGAATAAGAATTTCTATTATTCATGTTTTTCGTAATTTTAACGTAAAGTTTCAGCAGCCTCTGATGAAATAAACATGCAACAAAGCGTTTTCCAATACTGAACGTTCATAGTATATCCATGGTATGTCTTCTGACAATAATCATGAAATGCAGAATTACCATAGAACTGACGATCAGCATCAAAATTTTTTTGGGGATACATGCATTCTTATATAAAATTATGTTATTTGTCAAAGGTTAATATTAGATGGAATATGAGTAAGCTTAGCCGAAGCTACACATGTGCTACAGCACTCCGAGGACAAATGACAATCGGGAGTGAGTCCCTCCAATAAACAATATATTTTACTGACAACGAGAATATACATCTCGAATAACAATTTTACACAATAGTCTAACACTTACTTATCATTCGCACTTCTTTGCTTAGAAATTGAAACTTTGAACAGTGTTCTTGATGACAGTCAAACGCTTGCGGTGTGCGTGCATTTCGCTGCCAGTACGGAATAATTCCCTCAACAATTTTCCCTCATTTGATGTTAATTTGATACTTGTATATACGTAGTCATGGTAGCTGAGGAATTGGTCTTGGTAGCTGAGGAAGTGGTCTTGGTAGCTGAGGTAGTGGTCTTGGTAGCTGAGGTAGTGGTCTTGGTAGCTGAGGAGAAGTGGTCTTGGTAGCTGAGGTAGTGGTCTTTGTAACTGAGGTAGTGGTCTTGGTAGCTGAAGAAGTGGTCTTGGCAGCTGAGGTAGTGGTCTTGGTAGCTGAGGTACTAATATAAATTGCTAAAGAATCCAATGATTGGTCTAAATGCTTATTAATTCGCAAAATTTCGTCCTAACCTAAAACGGTGATGAAGTGATCTCCGTAGATAACAAATATTGCGCACCAACACGTGAAAATGTTAGGAGGGGTATTGGTCTATGTCACCGAAGATGTTATATTTGTTAGAAAGTTGTCTTCATGGCGGTTCCTAAAAATTACTTTGAAATATCAATGGAATTCTTAACAAGAAAAAAAGGAACACCGAGTACACGAATTAATGAATCAAAGTTCCTTAAATGTGTTTTCATATGTTTACTAGGTACTACATATAAGCAAATGAATTTAGGGAACATTATGTCAGAAATTAATTCACTGGGTTTTGAATATATGATTTTAGTCGCAATGAAGTGAAATGATTTTTCATGCTTTAAATTTCCTAAATTTACAAGATTTGCTTATGCAACGACTATCATAAATGATGCATCACGGTCGCTATTCATAACATTATCTAATAGGATAATTTTAATAATAATACGTATGCATGAGCATGACATCGTTGGCGCTCCAAGTATGAACGCGTTCAAGAACAGACTAGATAAAGCTATGAAAAATATATGTTCAGATTTGAAATGCATAGCACCATATCGAACCCGGTGGAAGTCTAGTAGCTTCTTCAAACTATCGTCAGTCATGAAAAGGTCCGGTCAAATGACACGAGTTTAGATCTATGAACAAGGCACGAAAAGGAAAAGAATCGGCGACAGGCCACATCAGGCCTACACTTCAGCGCCGAGATCACTATGTTATGATATGTTATGTTATGACTGTTGAGTGTTGACTCAACTTGACTGATCACTGATGTCCGATGATGACTCATAGTTCTGTTTTTTTTTTTCATCGTGACAGGGCCAACTGGCTAATAGAGCTACTATTATGAGTATATCATCATAAATATGACCATAAAGAAAACTGACGCTGTTGTAAATTATCTTGAATGTTTTTTTTAATTAATTACTTATTACCTTATAACGATAGGATTTGAAATGATTCCAAATAAAGTGGTTTCTCCTACATTTTCGGTCAGTCAAAGAAAACGATCTAAAACTGTTATCAGAAAAAAACATATTTTTGACTAACTAAAACAAAATTCAGTGTAATTGCCGTATCCCAATTGGGATACGGCAATTGGCTATTGCGTAATTGGCGAAGCCACTCTTTAATATAATAGCGAAAGTCACTCTTTAATAACACTCCTGGCGAAGTCACTCTTTAATAACACTCCTAATAAAAATAGTTTCTATGAATATTAAATGCGATTGTTTTTAAAATTTTATTGCCGATCGGTGAAGTGTTCTTGGAATGTCTTTTGAAACTACCAAGAAAATTCTATAGGAGCTGCACGTCATAATCATATAATGTATTTCATCTTTAGTGATCATAAATTCGATCATTCATCGTATTCGTATGTTATCGCTGTCGTACAAATCTCAATTGTTTGACGTAGGTGATCGCTATTGTGCTCCGGCAGATCAGCGTAAACTAATTGCTGTTGCGTACACATCACATCGATTTGCATTAGATCTTGAAAACGGTTCCCTGTCGCTGTCACCTCGTAACAGGAGACATTTCATCATTGACGCATTCCATCATTTACCAATTTAACCTAACCTACGTGTACCTGTGTTCGTAAAATGAACTTTATGCAACGATGAAATTAAATGTTGAATTACTATAATGATGAAATATAAAAAAATATGGGATGTGTGGCCACCCTTGAGGCCTTGATGCGCCCTTGCTGGTCACTGGACGGAGCAGCACATTCGTCTCAACAGATGGCGTAGTAAAGCAATATTTTAATGAAATAAGTAATAAATTAACATTTTATGAAAGCTGTCGACGGAGGATGAAAGGAAAAATACGTTCTCTTAGTGTATGACAAATTTTGGCTACCATTAGCGCCCCTTAATATAATTAGTTGTATGCCTACCGGCATAAGTGGTAGTACATACAATGGTGTGGTTTGGCAGAAGACCTTCCTTCATGCAAGATTGATTGAAGACCAGATAATGATTGTTACTGATAATTTATTCTTTGTATTTATTAAAATTTAATCAAAATGTCTATTGGTAAAATGGTTTTCGATCTGCCTACGCCAGCAAGAAATTTCGCTCGACTCGTCGAGAAGACAAATAAGAGAAATAATAGATAGTCATCCAGAAAATAATAAATAGTAATCAAGAAAAGTAATAGCCAGAACAATGAATGGCTAAATTGTCTGGGCTAAACACACTTTCCTGCACGCAGAGCAGACGTAGCACTGATACGCTCTTTTGCCCGGGCCAAACTGGGTCAGGATGAATATTTTATTTCGATGTATTCAGTTTTGTTCTTCGATATATTTCATAATATAAAGTTTCTTGTTTCCGATTTATTTGTAAAGAATTAAGCTTTTTAGTTCTAGTGTATGGGTAGTGAAAGAAAAAACTTCGGTTATCGTCTGTTTCGATTTATTAGCAAAAGCCACAAAATTGGCAAGGCAAGATATGCATGGAAAATTATACATAAAGAATTTTATTGAAATTCATGTACACAATTTTCCAGTTATTGCATAAAAAAGCAACGCTCATCAACCGTTGATGCGACACGGTATTAACAAAATAGATCAGAGTACTATACTTCGCGTGTGTCAAAGCTCCTACAATGAGTTAAAACAAAATACGACATTCAATAAAAAAAGCAACCCTTTGTCTACCTCAATTATGTAAAATTCTTTAATATAAAGCAATTGTTTATTGTAATGAATAATTTAGTTTTCTAATTTAACATACAAAGTAGCCAATCATAGTTCATGGTAGTGAATAATCTCCTTCAATAATCAACATTTACAAACCAATTAATAAACAACAATTTATAACTCACATATAACACTTATAAGATCTCCATTAGTATAACAAGTATAAATCACAAATCTTTATATAGTAATTATAGGCCAATTACCTTACAAATAAGAAACCTTAAAGTTTATGTCATGATAAAGTAATGTTCAAGTATTTCAGCAATACTTTAAACAAGTTAATGTACATCACAAGGTAAAGTAATGGGGTAAAGTTCGTTTGTTAAAGTATTATCAAGTATTAACTAATACTTCGAAGTTTTACGAAGTAGTAAAAGTTACTTTCAGCTAAACTAATAGAAAAATTGTTATTACTTTTTAGTTGCGCTCAAAGCATTAAAGTAAAAAAAAACTAATTTTTACTTACAAACCAATATCCTCCATTTAACAAGGCAAGAGAAGAACGTAAGATTAATTTCTTCATATAAAGAATCTAATCAATAATTTTTAAATTAACCTGATGAGATTTTTTGACTTCATCAAATGAAAATTTTTCCAACAAATATTTAAAATTTCAAATTTATTTTAAAGTTAATTAAAGTTTCTTGAAACTTCCAACATTGTGTTTTTAGAGGAAAAATTCAATATGTTAGGACGTTGAAAGTTCACGTTCAAGTAGACACAGAAGTTCACTTGCTGTTCAACATTTTTTGCCGTTCATCACTTAATTGTTCTGCTAAGCTGCCGTATAATCCGTTTAATCCATCACCACCAAGAGGACGGAGGCGTGCATGGTTATGGGCAATAAACCATTACACTACTAAAAATGCACCGACATGACTGCAGTTATAAATATTTGGCGAATTTGGAATGATTAAGATACACATCGTTTCGAAGATGATTAAGATACACATTATTTCAAAGATAATCATGATATGCATCATTTGAAATATAATAAAGATACACATCAGTTCAAAGATAATCAAAATGAAATCGTTTCAAAGATAATCAAGATACACATCGTTTCAAAGATAATCAAGGTACAAATCGTTTCAGAGATATATCAAGATAAACATCGTTTCAAAGATAATTAAGATACTCATTTCAAAGAAATTGATTGTTGCATGAGTTAGTTGATTTAAATTAAAGTCAAATTGGCTCTCAAAATTATGAAGTCTAATTTTAACAGTAACTAAAGCACGGTTATAAATGCAGTACATTTCAAATTAGTTAATGAGTGGAGCCTTGCTGCTTGAATGCGAGCAATTAAGGAAGGCGTGCTATTCCCTCACTTGTGAGTGAGGGGCGCTATTCCCTCACTTGTGAGTGAGGGGCGCTATTCCCTCACTTGTGAGTGAGGGTCAATGATTCAAGACAACGTGAGTCTAAGTCCTCACCGCCCTCAGGCTCAGCAGGGCAAGAAATTCGCCCGAAGATAATCCATAGTTTTCAGCATGGCTAGATAAATATAATTTATACCATATAGTGTTTCCCTATTATTGCTTCTACTTAAAAACTACTTTGTTTGTCTCACTAATTAGCATTTAAATTGAGCTTCGGTCGCGCAGGATGGAACTAAAAGTATTTAAAAACGAGGTCGCCGCCGAAAAGAATGGACTGCCACCGAAAGGAAGAGGCTGCCACCGAAAGGAAGAGGCTGCCACCGAAAGGAGGCCGCCGCCATAAAAGATAGGCTGCCACCGAGAGTAGTGATAATAGAATGCTTTGCCGGTGTTTCAACTATCAAGCCCTTTCGCAGTGGAGGTCAAAAGATGACATCGCCAGTGAGGAAGAAGGTCTCAATTATTCAAAATCTCAAATTAATCATCAACACAGGGAGCGTATGGCCTCAGATGTCCAGCCCGCTGAAGCTGGCTCGAAGGAAGCAGCGTTGGCATCTCAAAGAGACGAAGTGACAAGAAGGGACAGGTGAAAAGCAACAGAAACGAAGACACTCGAACAAGAGGTCGCTTACACGGGACGTCGGCCGCCAGCACGAGAGAGACAGAGAAGGGAAATGTAAGGAATCCCACCTACATAATAACTTAATGTAAGGAATGCTACCTACATAATAACTTGATGTAAGGAATCCTACCTACATAATAACTTAATGTTAGGAATCCTACCTACATAATAACTTGATGTAAGGAATCCTACCTACATAATAACTTAACCCCACAACTGAGACCTGCAGTCAGACACCGCGAGCTCAGCGGTGGGGCGCTCAGGAACAATCCCCCTAGGAACGCGAAATCCCATAGGACTTCTGACGAGCACAGACACGCGTCAGTAGTCTACCATTGAAAGGAAGAGGCTGCCATCGAAAGGAAGAGGCCGCCGCCGAAAGGAAGAGGCCGCCATCGAAAGGAAGAGGCCGCCACCGAAAGGAAGAGGCCGCCGCCGAAAGGAAGAGGCTGCCAACGATAGAAAGAGGCCACCGCCGAAAGGAAGAGGCTGCCAACGATAGAAAGAGGCCACCGCCGAAAGGAAGAGGCCGCCATCGAAAGGAAGAGGCCGCCACCGAAAGGAAGAGGCCGCCGCCGAAAGGAAGAGGCTGCCAACGATAGAAAGAGGCCACCGCCGAAAGGAAGAGGCTGCCAACGATAGAAAGAGGCCACCGCCGAAAGGAAAAGGGTGTCACTGACAGGAAAGGCGGCCACCGCAAGGAAGAGGCTGCCAGGAAGAAGCTTTATAGCTAAAAAAGCATTAAAATTGGATAAAAGCGAAGCGCCAATGTAACGAACTGTATGACGAACAGTATCACATATGAACCCTTATTAAGAATATGAGGCTAGGCATAAGTAGCGTAATATACAAGAGTTAGTTTAGCAGCAGCACAACAACCATCATGGCTCGTAATCTCATTTCAGAAAAAAACCAAGGACATCAGGCACTAAAAGCTTTAAGTAAATGAATATTTTACAACGAGTGATAATAATTACAATAAGAACTTATAATTGCAAGTCATGGAGTTAGTTAAGTGAAGAGAGCCATTTTATTTCATTGAAGCGCATGTCTTTGTTTAATTTGTTCGCATTCATTAGTTCAAGATAATTACTGTAATTAAGACACTCATTATACGTGCAGTCATTACCAAATCTGCCAATGTTAACAAATGATTTTCTACCAGAAAAATTTAAAACTCGTGGTTTGCCTTAGACGAAAACGAAAGTCAAAACGTTTTTATTTTTTAATGATCGCTGGACGACAAGAAACTGATGTCTGACATATAACCTACATAAAAAACTGTACATAAAAATAATGTAAATGTCAAACAACAAAATTTGGATGAGAAAATATCGTCCTAATTAAGTATTATTATTATTACGTATTAAATGAACATTTAACAATGTGATGCCAGGAGAATATCGGTTATTATGGTCTGTGGATATAGGCTATATTGGTTGCATTGATAATGGAACAGTAGACTATTTACAGGTAAAACATTAACAATGTTTTATTGAAATATGTTACGGACTGTGACAACAAACGACCTGAATAATCCCATTGATTCTGGCTGAGTTGCACACAAAATTCATTTTATTCATAAAGACTCAAAACTGATTGTACAAAACATTAATTGGAGCAATGAAATTGAACGGGATATTTAGAATATTAATAAAAATATACACAGTAAACATTTGAGATTGTCGAGATAAAATACAAAAATATTCATGGGTTGTATGGGGTAACAATTTATCAATTGTCTTCATTTTATACAAATGTCAACACATTTTAACATCGATATTTTTTGATTATCAAATTATGAACATTAGATTTTACTTACATATGCATTATTAATGATACATTGAGATAATATTACTATATATATTGGTTCGCAAGGCATTCGAAGCAAGTTAATATGTTCTAACTTATCAAATGAACATATTTTGAAAAAAAATGCTGCAAAAATGATATGTTGAGTGGCACAAATTGAGAAAACATTGAGTGACAATTCATTATGAAAAAAATTTGATCAGTACTCATTGCACTGAGTGACAGAGAGCGCATTTTCTAACGTCCGTCCGTCCGTCACGGACGGACATGACGAGCACAACAGCGCCTTTCTTTCCATAAATGAGAAAATGCGCTAAAAATCTCCGTGGTTAAAGATTCTAACAAATTGGCACAATTAACCTCAATTAACAATCTACTGGAGTTCAACAGTATCTCCCTCTTGACATTTTCAAGCTTTAATGATTGTTGCCAGTCTAAGTAACAAGTTTCAGTTTCAGTTCAATAATCGAACAATTAAACTCAAGCTGCTCGTTGACCCAAACCGCAATGTCGTTCCGTGTACCAATTTAACCGACTTTATCCAATATCGATAAATAATTACAATTTAACCGAGTTTATCCAATGCCGATAAACAAGTACAATTTAACAGAATTTATCCGATGCCGATAAATCACTAGAATTTAATCAAGTTTATCCAATACTGATAAATAACTACAATTTAACCGAGTTTATCCGATGCCGATAAATCACTATAATTCAATAGAGTTCATCCAATGTCGATAAATTACTACAATTCAACAGAGTTTATGCAATGCCGATAACTCACTACAATTCAACAGAGTTCATCCATATAACTACAATTCAACCGAGTTTATCCAATGAATCGCCATTTCAATACTACACTCGTAGTATTTGAATTGTTAAAGACTCTTAGTAATAACGCGCTCCATAGTGTGACCTTTTATAATTGCTGGGCTCAACCGGAGAATTTCACGAGATGGATTTACCATCTAGATCCTTTGAATTTGATTATTTAAGTTGCCTGCATAAAATAACGAGAATTAGTGCAACATGCGCAGAGTTGCGCGACGATGTTGCTTTCATCGCTGTCGTTTGTTGTACAAAACCGCAGTCGAAGTTTGCGGTCGTGGAGAAATGCAGATCTTTTTCCTGGTGATGAGATGCAAGCGATAAATTGGTTATAGCATCCTAGCAGAAATAGGGCAGCAGTATAATAGGGCTACAGCATAAATATGGTTATGGTAATAAGGTTACAGCAAAAATAGGGGTATAGCAATAGGGTTACAGCAAAAATAAGGGTATAGTAATAGGGTTACAGCAAAAAGAATGAGTGAGTAAATTTTAAATTTAGATCACTAATCAATTAAAACAAACGAGTTCAGCCGTTGCCTCCATGCAAAAGACATGATTTTTCGAGAATCATTATTGATCCAAATAATAATCATTCTTTCATACATTAACAATGCTTGAATGAAAGTTGCTAGGATCAGACAAAATTTGAACGGAGCGCAATTTATGTGTCGCTGACAACATTATCTGAGCCTAAATAATTATTATCTATTATCAATCAATATCAGTGTCAAAATAACTGAAAACAGATAACATGTTATTAAGAGTGATAGAAGCAGAGTGCGGATCTAAACGATTCTCTTAACAGCTGATGATGAGTTGTAACTAAAATTATAAAATATAATTTTAATAAACATTAAAACAATATATACAATAAGTAGAGACTCACTCGTTGGAAGGCCTCCACAGAAGTCCTCTTCACGTCACATCCTTACAGGGAAGCCTGGCGACAAAAGATTAGCCTCGTTTAGGCAAACGGCGCATCAATTATTAAATTACTACGGACTAGTTTCAATATTTTTGTGTGAATACAAGAATAATTACGGTGTATATATGCGATGAAAAAATATAAAACTTACGATAGGAACGGCACAGAGAGAGTGGGCGTACAAAACAGGCCCTGATCTACGTGAACGTTATCTTGTGAAACTGATGAATTTTCAAATCACTATCATTATACATTTCCAGAACTAAAGCAGCACGTGATAATATATAACGTACTATAACATTGCCAACATCCGCGAACGTTTGCGCGCTACGTACCTTTGGATTTTGAACGTCGATGCTCAGGGTCGCCCTAGGGTCGCTCCGCCGCCTCCTGCCCGACCGTGAGTTGCGGGGCAGGAACTCGTCGCTCTCATCTTCTTCGGAGCGGCTGTCCAGGCGGCGACCTGGGCCGGAGGGCGCCGTCTGGGAGCTCCGGAGACCCGGAACTCGAGGGCTCTGGTAGAATTGCTGAGCGAGAAACAGAAAGAATCCAAATCAAATGGTAATTAAATTGGCCGATTACCCATAAATAACATAAACTACAAAACTAAGAAAAGCGGGAGTCTTTGGTGAAGAACAGAAGATGAAAATTACATTTGCACTCAAGCTAAGTCAAGTTATCTGTCAAAAAAACAACTTAATGACAACTTAATGCATGACTGGCATCCGATGACAATTTTTATGCCTTTGCGAGTGCTGATGGATAAAACAAAAAGACTGCAGAAGTGATAGGATATATACAGTTGCCAATAATTACTTTCCGTGAGAAGTAGAAAGGTCTTAACGATGTTTTTATTGAGAGCGCTATAATTTAGATCAGGAGTCATGTATGAGAACATGAGAACACGTATTTTATGAAGTTAGTTTAATAACATTACATGCAGTTAATTTTATCTAAGAGTTTTCGTTAAATTCTGAACGCAGGTGTGAGTAAGAAGTTTATAGATGGAAATGAAATAACCGAATGCACTAAGTGAAGGAATCAGAACGATGGATTCAAGCTAGTCATGGAGTGTTTTTAAGTATGTAAGTGTTGAAGGTAATGTTGAAGGGTATTCGAGTTAACAAAGCACGTCATTCTTTGATAAGGAATTAAATTGCCGCAAAAATTCAAATTTCGGATCGAAAAAATTCTAGGAAACGGGGGCGAGCGCAGGAAAATCTGGCGTCGTTGGCTGTTATCGCAATTCTGAATTACAGCGATTTATAAGTGTGGTCAACCTGAATTAAATGCTGCCACTGATTTATAGGTGTTTTTGTTCTTAAATGTATTAAGTACTCGCGAAAAGATTAATCATGAGTTGAATTTGCATACCGATAAAAGGTTCTGCTTGCAATGCGTGAACCGGTATTAATTTGCCTGGTGCACCGTGCCGAGCATCCGCATACAAAATCAAAGAATTTCATGAATCTAACCAAACCTTGAACTGAATTAAAACTGAAAATTTGCAAAGTAAGAGCCAGGCATCCACACTCCTAATCAGGGTCGACATATTCATACCGCGAGTTAAATTCCCATTACCAAGCATTTGATTGTATTAGCGCATGCACTCAAAAAAAAATAATAATAAAGTAGACTCGGTCAAAATACTGATGCACTTCTGTGCCTATAAGGGTCATTCTGACCCGCTTCGGTTCCAAAAAAAAAAAAAAAAATAGGATACGTGGGAAAAGTGTCACTTTTTGGACTATATGACACCATAATTTTTATGAGCGCATGATTCGGCGTAGAGTGCGCATTCACAAAGCTGCAATATGCACACCATTTTAATAAGATAACCAGGCTGGAAAAAAGCACCGCCATTTACCGTTAACCTTTAAGCATGCCCCAGGGGAGAATGAACACACAGAAAAATGAGTGAGACTTTGTCCAAACAGCAATGCACTTTCTCCTCTATGTGTGGGCCATCGGGAAAAACGGCGTATCATTGCAACGTCAGCTCTGTGATTGTGCTGTGTTTGAAAAAAAGCGTGTCACTATTCAGACCATGCGACTCATTCATTTTCCTGAGTGATGCATGTGTGTCGGTGGTTCTTACCTCATTACTTTCTTCACTTTCTCTCCTTTTAGGGAAAGTTTTAGGAGTTATGAAAGGGGATGGCGGGGTTGGTGCTAGCGTTACAGGTTTGGTGGGGCTTTGTCTCGGCAATTTTGAGCCCATGATGAACTGAAAGAATCAAGTACGAGGGATTTTTTAGTTTGCCGACTCTGAAATCGAAGATTGGCTCACAATTTGCCGACTATTAAACCGAAGATGGCTCTTAATTTGCCGCTTGTAAAGCCGAAGATGGCTCTTAGTTTGCTGACTATTAAAACGAAGTTTGGCTCTTAATTTGCCGCTTACTAAACCGAAGATGGCTCTTAGTTTGCTGACTATTGAAGCGAAGTTTAGCTCTTAATTTGCCGTTTGTTAAACCGAAGATGGCTCTTAATTTGCCGACTATTAAACCGAATAAAGGCTCTTAATTTGACGACTTTTAACCGAAGACCGACTGTTAATTTGTCGACTTGCAAACCGACGACGACTTTCAAATAGAAGATCGACTGATAATTTGCCAAATACTTCGATATTCTATAGTTAGTACCCATTATTGAAAATTTATATAGCGACACAATCAAAATTGTTGTTGCTAACAACCAGTTTAATTTTTTTGCAATTTGAGATCAGATTTAAGAATAGATTTAATATTTTATTAAAACAGATTTGAGTTATTTCAGAAGGGATTTAAGAACCAATGTTGTCGAGTGTAGCAATTAATAATATGCGTTTAAAAATTACTTTTTAAAGACAACACTTCTAAAGAGGCCAGAGTCTCCGATGTTACTAATGTACAATGATTTTTTTTTATTTTTAAATATAAATAACAAATCTTTATTATTATTTTTTCTAATATATTTTACAATTTTTTATATTATTTGTTCTGTCAATTGATTCATGCATTGTCTCCGACTTCACGCTAGTATGCAAAATTTCAGGTCGATTGGACAGGTAGAAGTGTGTTAAAATATCGATTATAAGATTTGTAGCTGACAAACAAACATCGGAGTCCTAGGCGGTTCCTAATTCAGGGTCGCCACCAACTAAAAATTTTGATAGGGAAGAAGTGACGTTGAAGAGAAGTGTTGTAAGATGCTAGTGGATATAGTATACTGTGTGGTGCCAGTGTAGGTAGATATTATATTATAAAATATTTTGATGACAATCTAGAGAGAATGAATTGATACAAATACAAACAAGCAAAGAAGGCACAGTTTAATAAAAAAAAAACTCATTACATTATAGTGTTTTTTTAAATATTATTTTGAGCAAGACATAATGTTGAAATCTGCATATTTGGCTTAGGCTTACAATTACGTTATAGGTTAGTAGAGATTCAAGTGTTTTTTTTTTGTGCAATAAGAATTCAAAATTGAATTGAAGGCATTCCCATTACACAGGTAGTGACTGCATTCACATTTTCCTTTATTGTGAACAAAAAATAATAATAATAAATTTATTTTGCACGCTGGAGCAGTAAACCAACATTTTTCGTATGTCATGTGTTGATGATGAAATGATCAAGGATGATGACTGTGGCTGTGATAACACATTGTATCATGCAGTGAAAAAAAACAGTTAATGAGATCACGAGTAAATCAAAATATGTACAAGTCAGAAGACAGTGTCAACATACGTTCAATATTGGACTGAAAATTACAAATTATAAGAATAAGAATAATGAATGTAATAGGACACTGATATTTATAATCATTCACAATCTTAACGAAGAATTAAATAAAAAAAAGTAAGTCGGGCTCCGCCTTCAATTTTCCTCACTTGCCTGTCCACGATACACACTCAGTGAAATGAATGGGTAATATTGTCCAAATAGTGATGTACTTCCTCACTAGCAGAGAGCGGACGCAGCTCTGATACGCTCATTTGCTGGGTTAGGATGACTCCCACAAAGGTATACATCGTATCGAAAAATGGACAAGTCTCACTTATTCTGTTCTCAGTGTTGCTACACTCAAAAAATGAGAGCGTTGTTTGGTCCAAATTTTGACACACTTTATGCTCGTAGTACTGATATACGACATTCTTGCCGAGCGAAAATGGGCAAAAGTGGCACAGATTGCCTGGTCAAACTGAACAACCCAGACTAAGGCAACAAGTACATCAATATTTGGACAAAGTTCCACTCATAAATCTCAGTGGGTCTCACCTCGTTGCTCTCAAGGCTCTCGCCCGAGTCCTCAAAGTGAGTCCTGTAGGAGGGCTTCTGGAACTTGCTGAGGAAGACTGGACGGGCGTGGGCGGACGGGTGGACGGGGGGCAGGAGGGCGACCTCGGAGCTGTGGGGGGCGCCGTGCCCCCCCTTGTCCTTGCAGAGGAGCTTCGTGACGCGGGTGCCCCCTACCCCGCTGGGGGGCTCGAACAGGAACGCGTTACACAGCTGGGGGGGGGGCGGGGGTTAACTAATTATATTGGTTAGAGAAGAAAAAATATAACTCGGTACTCACTGCAGTGAGTGACAGAGAGCGCATTTTCTCGTCGACGAAAACTTGAGGTCACGGACGGACAGACGGACAGACAGACAGACAGACAGAAGACAGACGGACAGACAGACAGACAGACGGACGGACGGACATGACGAGCACAATAGTGCATTTTTTCCATAAATGAGAAAATGCGCTGAAAAGCGATCTGATTTTTTTATAGTTTTTTCTTGAAGGGACAAAATATGAGAATTATTTTATCAAATTCATTCTCTCGAAGGAAAAATCAGAAAATATGGTAAAATTATTTTTTAAGGAAAATAAGCATGAATATTTTTTCAAAGCCTTGTTACCCATCAACTTAACGTATGACAAGTTAATTAACGTGAAGTTGCCACCATCCGACGATAGTCAAGTTAACCTTGTTAATCAATTTACTTAAACATGGTTATTGCCATATAAACTCTATAATATTTGAATAGTTTAATTAATAATAATATTTATTATCTATAATTAATAATTCAAATAATAATCTAAATGATATGAATGCAAGTAATACATTACCTTAACATCCTCTGTATGGTCGACGCGGCAGCGCTGCTTGTCGATGTGTTCCTTGTATTTCGGGCAAAATGTTTCAGCGAGCTCGACTACAACGTTGTAGCGAATGCCGGACACGTTCTGGCGAGAAAACGGTGATGTACTTCAATAATGTGTTCAAACACTTCATCAATACATTAAAATATATCGTTAATACATTAAAACACATCTTTAATACATCAAAACTTTCAAAAATGTATCAAAACACTTCATTAATACATTAAAACTTAACGTTAATACATAAAAACATATCGTTGATACATTAAAACACTTCATCAATACATTAAAACTTATAGTTAATACATCAAAACACATCGTTAATACATTAAAACTTATTTTTAATACATTAAAACACATCGTTAATACATTAAAACACTTCTTCAATACATTAAAACTTATAGTTAATAAATCAAAACTTATAGTTAAAACATCAAAACCCATCGTTACTACATCAAAACACATCGTTAATACATTGAAACTTATTGGTAATACATTAAAACACATAGTTAACACCTTAAAACACATCGTTAATACACTAAAAATAGAACGTTTCCCTCTCGCTCGGGTTTTCCGCAATACAACCTCGCAGAAAAATGCGCAGGTGAAAGTGTCCAAATAATGACGCTTTTTCACCGACATCACGAGCAGCGAGCGGACGACACACTTATTTTGCCCGCAATGCCGGACAAAACTGGGTCAGGTTGACCCACATAAAGGCAAGAGTGCATCGATATTGAGAAAAAGTCTCTGCATTTTTGGAGTAAACAAGTCACTTAATTCAAGTGTGAATTTTTTAAATGAAATTTTAATATTTGGGCGTCAGAAATGAAAAATTAGATACAAATCAAGAAATTGAAGGATACGCACTTACACAGTATTAAAAACGTAAAAATTTTCACGTATGTATATTTTCATTCATTCTTTCAATCATTTTTCATTGTTTTTTTAATAACTTATTTATAATTCAATGTTTTATTTATCAGGCTTAAGTATCACGGTTTATTTAAAGAAATTAACAAAACTAACTATTTTTGACTATTAATGCAGAAATTAGAATTAAATGCTTACTTACTAGAGAATATAAAAATAGATACATAAATGCCAACTTATTAAAGAATATAAAAATAAATAAATAAATGCCAACTTATTAAAGAAAATAAAAACAATAGAATTAAATGCTAACTTATTAAAGAATATAAAAATAGATAAATAAATGCTAACTAATTAAAGAATATAAAAAATAGATGAATAAATGTTAACATATTAAAGAATATAAAAATAGATAAATAAATGCTAACTTATTAAAAAATATAAAAATAATAGAATTAAATGCTGACCTGGTATCGGGCGGACACTTCACTTATTAATAATTCAATCTCTTATTTATCAGGCTAAAGAATCACGGTTTATTTAAAGAAATCAACAAAACTAACTATTTTTGATTATTAATACAGAAATAAGATAATTGATGCAGAAATCAGAATTAAATGTTGACCTGGTATCGGGCGGACACTTCATTGATTATTTAATATCTTATTAATAATTCGATGTCTTTTTTATCAGGCTAAAGAATCACGGTTTATTTAAGAAATCAACAAAATTAAGTATTTTTTGATTATTAATGCAGAAATTAGACTTAAATGTTGACCTGGTATCGGGCGGAGACAGTTCGCTGTGGCAGGAAGAGGTTGTCGTCGTCGGTGCGCAGGTCGAACTGGTCCGCGATGAAGGATGCCAGGTCCTTCAGTTTGGGGTCCGTGGGGGACATGGGGGTCCAGGGGCCGTCCTCGCCTGCGGGGGAGGGGGGATTTAATACAGAATTAATGAAGAGATAAAATTGTGGAAATTCGGACTGCGACGAATGTGCAAGGAACGAAGCAAAGAAGAAGTTAAGAATTAAGGTTTGATTGAAAATGCAACTGTTGCCTTGTTATTTCCACCCGTGACCCGTGACTCACCCGTGACCCGTCACTCACCCGTGGCCGGTCACCCACCCGTGACCCGTGACTCACCCGTGACCCGTCACTCACCCGTGGCCCGTCACCCACCCGTGACCCGTCACCCACCCGTGGCCCGTCACCCACCCGTGGCCCGTCACCCACCCGTGGCCCGTCACCCACCCGTGGCCGGTCACCCACCCGTGGCCCGCCACCCACCCATGGCCCGTCACTCACCCGCGGCCCGTCACCCACCCGTGGCCCGTGACTCACCCGTGGCACGGGCCCGGACGTAGTCGTCCTTCTCGCGGCAGTAGAGCTTCTTGGCGGTGAGCCCGTCCCAGGACGTCCCGGCCGTCCCGCTGGTGCTGTCCCGCGTCACTTCCGCCTGTGGGACACATATATTATATTATATTATAATATATTATATAATTATATATATATTACTATATATTACTATATATATATAATATATTATAATATAATATAATATAATAATATAATATCCTGCCCCACCTGACAGACAATCCTGTCCTCAGAAGGATCTACAGGACACTTGTTAGGGTCCACTATGGGCAGATATTTCCTACAGGACGTCTCCGCCATCTCCACCTCCAGCAGGTAGCGCACGCCCCCTGTGCCGGAGTCCTGTACCAACAACACAATTAGTTCAACAAATTTGCAAGGTTAATGAATGCATAATTTTCTGTATTTATTACGATAAATTTAATACAATTAAATAATTAAATGCATAAAAGTTAGAATTAAATGGAAAAATTACAATTAATCGTAAAAAATAACAATTAAATGTAAAAAATACAATGAAATGTAAAAAAATTACAGTTAAAGGTAAAAATGACAATTAAATGTAATTTTGTAGATTTGAGTTCAATAGAAGAAAAGTAATCTTGTCACGTAAAGCAAATTATTTCTACAATATTGCAGATTTTTTACTACAGAGTTTGATTTTATGTAAGCCAAAATTTACCTGAAATGCAAATCAAGTGACCAAAAAATATAACTCAGCACTCACTGCAGTGAGTGACAGAGAGCGCATTTTCTCGTCGACGAAAACATGAAGTCACGGGCGGACAGACAGACGGACGGACAGACGGACATGACGAGCACAATAGAGCATTTTTTCCATTTATGAGAAAATGCGCTAAAAAGGCGATTTTTTAACGAAAAAAATTACGACAAATGAAGCAACTTATTTTTTCGAATAAACAAATTTTCAAAAACAAACAAAAGGCCAGCAATGATCTCCGTGACAGTGATAACATGTGTGATAAAATGTTATAATAATAATGAAACAGTAACAAAATGTATGAAAACACATTAACAAAATGTATAATCTGATCGTTTTCTGATGGCGGCTAGATCACAAAACGAACCTATGCATAAATTTAGAAATTTCGTTTGTATAATTTGAGAGAATAAAAATTTTATTGATATATCTGTTATAGTTGATAATAATTTATGAATAATTGTAGGTAGTTAATGGAAAAATCGAAGCAAAAAATTGTTATAAAGATTTTAAGATACTTGTCATGCACGTGTAGGCGTGACGTGCACGTGACGTGTACGTGTGACGTGTACGTGACGTGTGCGTGAGACGTGTACGTGTGACGTGTACGTGTGACGTGTACGTATGACGTGTACGTGACGTGTGCGTGAGACGTGTACGTATGACGTGTACGTGACGTGTGCGTGAGACGTGTACGTGTGACGTGTACGTGACGTGTGCGTGAGACGTGTACGTGTGACGTGCATGTGACGTGTACGTGTGACGTGTACGTATGACGTGTACTTGACGTGCACGTGACGTGTACGTGTGACGTGTACGTATGACGTGTACGTGACGTGTACGTATGACGTGTACGTGACGTGTGCGTGACGTGTACGTGTGACGTGTACGTATGACGTGTACTTGACGTGCACGTGACGTGTACGTGTGACGTGTACGTGTGACGTGTACGTATGACGTGTACTTGACGTGTACGTGTGACGAGTACGATGACGTGTACGTGTGACGTGTACGTGTGACGTGTACGTGTGACGTGTACGTGTGACGTGTACGTGTGACGCGTACGTGTACGTGTACGTACGAGGGTATGCGCGGTGACGACGGCGACGAGGGTAGCCAGGTCATCCTCGTCACTGAGGAGGTTGTAGCGCGCGACTACGAGCTGTCCTGCCTTCTGCACCAGCACGTCGGACGTGGCCACGGGCCGCATGCCTGCGTACCTGCGTATATATATATAATATATTACTAATATATAATTAATATATTATTAATATTATAACTAATATAATGTATATAACTACAAGCTGCACCAGCACGTCCGATGCGGCCACGGGCCGCATGCCCGCGTACCTGGGGTTATATAATATATACCTTATATATTACTAATAATATAAATAATATCATTACCAATATATTAGTGATATATTACTAATATATTTAACTAATATTAATACTAATATATTAGTGATATATTACTAACATTAATACTAATATTTTAGTAATATATTACTAATATTATAACTAATATAATGTATATAACTACGAGCCGCACCGGCTTCTGCAGAGCACGTCTGACGTGGCCCGCTTACCAGGGTACATAGTACATAATATATAGTACATAATATATAGATATAGTACATAATATATAAACATGCAACTAATATACCTATAAGTAAAAGTATAATTAATATAATATATATGACTCATTAATTCACATATAAGTTCGAGCTGCCAACGGACAGTTAATATGAACATTTTCATCATGAATTTTTTGATTTTCCAAACTGAAAAAGTAATCTTGATTATTTAATTTTTAAAAAATAATCGTGAACTTGATTAAAAATATCAAAAAATAGGCGGAGGGGTGAAGATTTGGACAAAGTGTCCCTCATTACTCTGAGTGTACGTACGTCTCGGTGGGGGAGGTGTGGGGGAGGCTGGGGAGGTGGCCGAGGGGGAGGAAGGGTTCAGGCACCCAGGCGACGGGGGGCACGGGGGGCACGAGGCTGGACTGCCCCAGGTAGTCCCCCAGATCCTGGCAGCTGACGGAGACCAGCTGCAGGGCACCTGATGCCGGCACCTGTACGACCGCGTCACACACCTGCAATGATAATTAATTAATTAGGCACGCACCTGCAATGATAATTAATTAATTAATTAATTAGGCACGCACCTGCAATGATAATTAATTAATTAATTAATTAGGCACGCACCTGCAATGATAATTAGATAATTAATTAGGCACGCACCTGCAATGATAATTAGATAATTAATTAGGCACGCACCTGCAATGATAATTAATTAATTAATTAATTAGGCACGCACCTGCAATGATAATTTAATTAATTAGGCACGCACCTGCAATGATAATTAGATAATTAATTAGGCACGCACCTGCAATGATAATTAGATAATTAATTAGGCACGCACCTGCAATGATAGTGATAATTAATAAATACCATATTTCATATAATATCTATGCATAAAATACGTCCATGTATCATAAATATCCCATTCAAGATAATATCTACGTATTCAAAATGATATACGTTTGAAATTAAGAAGAAGCATAAACTTCTTAAGCTTTCCCGCTCTGGTATAATTCGTCGCCGATCGTACACCATTTACCGTAATGTCTTAAATGCGATAATCAAGACAGTTAAGAAACAATTCTACTCAGCCAAAATTATACAGAGGTCGATTGACTCAGAGTTCTATGGAAAATTTTGAACACCTTACTTGTAAAAAATGTTGCTAACAAAAGAATTGAATTGTTAAAAAATAACAAGCTAATTTCTGGTAGCGAGGCAGCAATTGAATTTAACAATTATTTTATCTCTGTTGCAAATGACATCACTAAAAACTTAGGTCCAGTGAACAATAATGTGCCGCATGAAATTCCTATCTGTGAGGCATCTTGCTTTCTTTTCCCCACTTCTGAACTTGAAATTAAGAAATTCTTACGGTTGTGCAAGGGCAAGCCACTTCAGATCGATGAAGTTCAGCCAAGAATGTTGTATCTTGTAGCTGACACTGTAGCACCAGTTTTGGCTCATATTTTCAACCTATATGTACATATGTCTTGTGGTGTGTATCCCGATTCACTGAAACGTGCTCGCGTTATACCTATTTTTAAATCCGGTGACCCGCACAATGTCTGTAATTATCGTCCAATATCAACCTTGCTATTTCTTAATAAGATCTTTGAAAAAATCCTGCATTCGAGACTCACAAACATTTCAACAAGTTTTCAATAATTTCTGACGATCAGTTTGGTTTCCGTAAGGGAACCAACACAACTATGGCTATATTTTATTTACTTCTAGACCTTCTCAAGACGATTTAGTCTTGAGATTTATTAGATTTAGATAAGATCAATTTAGTTTAGTTATATTTAGATAAGATCGATTTAGTCAAGATTTAGTTCTAGACCTTCTTCTCATCATTCTAAAGAATACTGTGTTGCTCTTTTTCTGGACCTACAAAAGGCCTTCGATTGTGTGAATCACCAAGTACTATTGGGTAAGCTTCGCCGTTATGGAATTAGGGGGACTTTTCTTGCACTTATTCAGTCTTACCTCACGAACCGAGAGCAGTTCGTCGCATTGAGTGAGTTTAATTCCCCCTTAAGGCTCATCAATATAGGTGTACCCCAGGGCTCTGTACTTGGGCCTTTATTCTTTAATATTTTTATTAATGATATCGCTTCATCTTTTAATGTGAACTGTAAGCTTTTTGCCGACGACGCCGTGTTCTATGTCTCGAGAAACTCGTACGACGAAGCGTGTGACAATATATCAGAGCTGTCTTTGAATCTGTCGAGATGGCTTCTAGCAAACAAGCTAGTGGCACATACAGACAAGACCAAGTTGATGCTCTTTACCCCCAGACCCGTCCCCGTTTTACGTGACATCACTTTCAATGGGTAGATGAATTCAGGTATCTTGGTTTAATCCTAGATAACAAGATCTCCTTCAAGAAACACATCAACCACGTCTGTCAGGGACTGAGTAAAGCCCACGGAGTTCTGCGTGCCTTATCAAATGTATTGCCTTTTCCTTCACTAAAAACGCTTTTTTACGCATTGTCTTTATCTAAACTATCAAGCACTTTAGTAATCTGGGGTGGTGTACCTTTCAATACGAAAAAACGGGTCATCACATTACTTAATAAATCGTTACGTTCTATATGCTTAGGGTTAGGTATGACGATAATAATATTCCTTTGATATGCACTAACGAATTATATAGGCGGTCGAAAATTTTAAAACTTGACGATATGTTCAGATTTCAACTTTTAAAGTTCATGAATAGAGCACTTTACCATGATAAGCGTCTTTTTAAAACTGCTTTCGCCCCTCTTGTTCCCCAGCATTCTAACAACACCAGGGGCGTTCGATTTAACCTACCACCGGTTCGTTTAGACATAGAAAAAAGCGGTACCGTTTTTGATTGTGTCAAATATTTTAACGAATTGTCCGATGAGTTCAAACAAGATTGCTCTAAAATGTTTTTAAAAATAAAATACCGTGATTTTATCCTTAACCAGTATTAATTTGACTTCGATTATTATGCAAGTTTTAGGTATTTTGACTAGATGTTTATAGTTGTACTCTGTTTTACTAAGTGTAATGTTGACATTGCCTCTTTTTTTGCTGATTTTTCTACTATGACATACGGTTATCAGTTTTTAAGGCTTTTGTCAATGGTTTTGCTAATTTTATAAATTTGTTACTTATCTGTTCAAATCGTCGTCTTGTTATTATTGGAATTGAATCTTGTACCTATTGTTTTGCCTGCGAAGCTTTTTTAGCTTATGGGCATTCACCTGGAAGCCTTGCTATTTCATTTCACATCTCTTTTTATTTTTCATTGTAACGTGTGCTCCTGTGTGAATAAATAAATCAAATCAATCAAATAATATACATGCATGTATCATAAATATGATATTTAAGAAAATATCTATTTAAATAATAATGTTTAAAATGATGTACATCCATGTGTCATCAATATCCCATTTGAGATAATATCTACGTATTCAAAATGATATATGTTTAAAATAACATACATGCATGTACCACAAATATTCTATTAAGGCCCCCCACCTCGTGCTCCTCGAAGGGGTCGAGTGTACAGTAGCGGGGGGCGCTGGGGGGGCGGTGCAGGGGGGCGCGTGTGCAGTTCGTCTCACCCACCTCGAGCACCACGCGCGTCTGTCCGCTGCCTGACTGCTGCATGCACAACATAATATTTCAAGAACTGCATTTGTAAATTATGTAATAAAAGTAATGCATATCACGTGAAAATTGAACATATTTTCGTTGAAAGCGTTCCGTTAATGATATCATCCGTTCAAAACATCTCTGGGCTGTGAAGCGTTTCTGGTATCCAAAACGTTTCTGTATCCAAAACGTTTCTGGTATCTAAAACGTTTCTGGGCTCCGAAGCGTTTCTGGTATCCAAAACAGGGTGGCCCAGAGAGCAGGGTGGCCCAGTGGTTAAAGTTCAGAGTACCAAGATTGGCGCAGATGGGCGCGGGTTCGATCCCAGCTCTGTGCGCCAGTTTCTGGTCAGAATCGGCAAGGAGGCCGGGCGGTTAAGCATAGCAGAATTGTAGCAGTGAGTTGCGTGTTCGAGACCGCAAAATGCTGTGAATCTTCTGCGATGTTAAGAATCGGCGACAGGCCTACGGCCTAATAACGCTGAAACCGCTATTTATTTATTTATTTAAAACGTTTCTGGTATATAAAACGTTTTCAATGCATGCAGTACGATGAATTTCATGATCACTACCTCGGATTTTAAATCGAATTCTTTAAATAAGTGCCAATAATAAAACTGTGATGCCTCATAAGTTCTAGTTCCATGAATCAGAGAATCAGAGAGCGAAGTTAAACGGCTTTCAAAGATCAAACTTTCAAGTTTCCACTTGAAGTTCTCAGAACTTACCAGCGGCAGAACTTTGTGGACCTTGACGAGCTGGTAGTATCCATCATCATCGTCCAACTCGCGGGAAAAATCATCGTCAAGTTCATGAGATTCGTCGTGCGCTCGCGAGTCAAAGTCGTGGTCGCCGACGTCATTTTTGTTGATCTCGTCAACGACGAACTGCGCGACGCGCGACGTTTGTGCGTCGTGGGGCACGTCAGGGGCGCTCTGCCCCCCGGAGAGGGTGAGGGTAACGGGCTTGAGGGTAACGGCCGCCGAGGGTAGCGAGGTACCCGCGGCCGAGGACGAGGCGGCTGCTGGTATTCATATTTTTAATGAATTATTACGCTGTTAATGATTGATTACGCTGTTAATGAATGATTACGCTGTTAATGAATGATTACGCTGTTAATGAATGATTACGCTGTTAATGAATGATTACGCTGTTAATGAATGATTACGCTGTTAGTGAATTATTACGCTGTTAATGAACTATCACTGTTAATGAACTTTTACACTGATACTTAAATATTTAATATTGGAATAAAATAGAATGTAACCAATTATTTCCACGTCACTTGCGTGTCACGCACCTTGCGTGGCATGGAACACGGACGATGACAGCAGAAACTCAGGATTGTGACGATGAGCTTCGTCTTTATCAAAGCATTTAGCGCTGAGCAGATGTGACGAAGGCAGCCATGGCTGATGTAGGACCACAAACACACATATTTCGTGGTCCTCTGTGGGGTCCCGGGGACACTGGGACCGCTGGGTCCCCAGTGTGGTCCCTTTAAGGCATGTGGTTTCCGCTACCTCCACCGTCAGTAGATATTTCGTCCCGGCCGACGCCTGGGAAATATAGAGCACTCAGAGAAATAAGGGAGACTTTTGTATTTTTTTCATGCAATAGAGGCATGGATAACATGTGCACTCAAATAAATAAGTGAAAGTTGTGTCCCAGATGATGAATGGAAAATATACATGTGTGCGCACTGAGAGAAATGAGCGAAGATTTGGTCCAAATTAAGATGTAATTCATGCTTCCACCATCGCAGTGCAGGTCCCTACCACCAACCTGCATGTAGGCGCTGATAAGAGACACAGGTTTGTGCAGGTTGCTACCACTAACCTGCATGTAGGCGCTGATAAGAGACACAGGTTTGTGCAGGTTGCTATCACTAACCTGCATGTAGGCGCTGATAAGAGACACAGGTTTGTGCAGGTTGCTACCACTAACCTGCATGTAGGCGCTGATAAGAGACACAGGTTTGTGCAGGTTGCTATCACTAACCTGCATGTAGGCGCTGATAAGNCTAAAGTTACCCCTATAGTTACCCATAAAGTTACCCCTAAAGTCATCCCTAAAGTTACCCCTAAAGTTACCCTAAAGTTACCCCTAAAGTTATCCTAAAGTTACCCCTAAAGTTACCCTAAAGTCACCCCTAAAGTTACCCTAAAATTACCCCTAAAGTCACCCCTAAAGTTACCCTAACCTTCTTGTTGCACTTGAGCTTGTCCTTGTCGTCGCCGTGCGCTACCCTGAGCGGCATGAGATGGTTGGGGTGGTAGAGCAGTGACACCACGCACTGGTAGTGCGGTCTGGTAGTGTCCACAGGGCAGTTCCTTTGGTAGTGGTTATGGTTATTTTTGTGTAACACTCGTAATAAGTGCTAATATAACTTAGTGTAACACTTTTTAATGTAAATAGTTTTTTGTAACCTAGTAGTGCGGTCCGGTAGTGTCCACCGGGCAGTTCCTTTGGTAGTGGTTATGGTTATGATTATGGTTAATATAACTTAATATAAAATGTTGATATAACTTAGTTTAACACTTTTAAGTCTATACATTTTATTAATAACTATAGGCCTGGTAACGGGAGTTACGGTGAGAAAATTAAAGCTACGCCTTATACTTAAGAGGACATGGGATTAAATTAAATGATGCCTAACTGATAAATAACTAATAGTGAACTGATGAGTCATATAGATGTAGGCCTGCCTTAAAAATCTATACGAAATGGTCCGCAACATGTCATTGGTTTGCTGGAAAGTGCAATTCTCAAGCAGTCCAGAAAAAACACAAAATAATTTCACCCCACGTAAAAGATTGTTTGACCCACTTTCTTCTGGTTCATTTGACCCACTTTCTCTTGGTTCATTTGACCCACTTGCTCTTGGTTCATTTGACCCACTTTCTCTTGGTTCATTTGACCCACTTGCTCTTGGTTCATTTGACCCACTTTCTCTTGGTTCATTNGTACAATATGGGGTACAATGACGTACAATGAGGGGTACAATGACGTACAATGAGGGGTACAATGACGTACAATATGGGGCACAATGACGTACAATATGGGGTACAATGATGTATAATATGGTACAATGACGTACAATATGGGGCACAATGATGTACAATATGGGGTAAAATGGCGTACAATATGGGGTAAAATGACGTACAATATGGTACAATGACGTACAATATGGGGCACAATGACGTACAATATGGGGTACAATGAGGCGTCAGCAATACATAATTCAAGATAAACTCTTTCTTTAGGTATAAAGATACACTCCCTACCTTGATGCGATCGTCTCTGGTTTACAAATTCAGTTGTGCGCAATGCGCATCAGTGTAAGTCGGTATGACGTCACACAACTTTTATTTTAGAGCGGCTGACCATAAAAGAAGGATTTATCGAACAGGAAATCTACTTGCACATCCCCCTCATTCAGCTCTTCGAATTAATGCCGGGCAGTGCGATGTCCCGGTGTCCGACATGCAACGATTTCAAAATTTCAGCTTATATAACCCGTCTTTCTGACTTTCGAATTTTAGAATTCTTTTATATTTTCAAATAAAAGCCTTGCTTATAAGCCGTTCTCATGCAGTTCCTATGCCCAATCGAGACTGTAAGCAGACAGACAAGTCTTGATGTGGTATTTTAGGTGGATTTACCTTTTATTGTGTCAATTTTAGGTTTTGATATCCGACTGTAAAGTTTAGAATATAATCTGATTGTAGTTTTTTTCTAGGTTTTTCGAACTGACGATGGAGCTGAACTCCGAAACTTTTTCCTTTACAAAACTATTGTGAATTTCTTGGTAAACTTCTTTGTTTTTAAAATTCCTAGTGAAGAGGTTCAACCATAAAATCGAAAACAGGTTCAATAATAGTGGTGAAACAGCAGGTTTAATAACACAGGTTACACACTTTAGATAATGGTTAAACAACAGGTTATGATTAAATAACAGGTTCAATAACACAGACTAAATAACAGGCTAAATAAAACAGGTATTTTAAATAACAGCTCATATAACAGAGTATAAACATGAGGTCAAATATGACAGGTTACACACATAATGTTTGGTTAGAACACAGGTTAAACAACATGTTATGGTTAAATAACAACATAAATAATAAAAACCTCTACTCACCCAGTCTTCTCATCCAGAATTCTGGTGACGTTAAGCCACGGTCGATCCCAGAAGGCCACCTCGCAAATGTATGAATCCTGTGGTGAATAAAATGTTTTCAATTAATAACCTTTATTGAGTATTTAGGCGACACGACCATTAAATAATCAATTCCAGTCGAAACTTTAATTCAATCAATACTTGAATTTTGATTAAAATTGAAGCTCGATTAACTATTCCCCAGACCATGGCCAGCGATAATACGGCCAAGATTTTGAATAATTCAGTTTAAAATAAGTGAAGAACCTTCACAATACAGTAAAATATGGCGACCCGCTACATGCTACAATATCACATAAAATTTATCAGATTAATTTAAATAGTATCAGCGTATAAATATAAAATAATTTGAACGCGAACACTCATTTAACTAACGCAGTGAATGTGGCGGCGCTGGGCGAGAACCTTTAAGGGTTCTAAAGGTCAGGGTCGTTAGAGGGCTCATGTTTTGCTGTAGCCCTGGTGCAGCTACAGCTGTTGTAGCTGTTTACCTGTAACAGCTACAGCTGTTGTAGCTGTTTTACTGTAACAGCTACAGCTGTTGTTGCTGTTTACCTGTAACAGCTATAGCTGTTGTAGCTGTTTACCTGTAACAGCTACAGCTGTTGTTGCTGTTTACCTGTAACAGCTACAGCTGTTGTTGCTGTTTACCTGTAACAGCTACAGCTGTTGTTGCTGTTTAACTGTAACAGCTACAGCTGTTGTAGCTGTTTTCCTGCAACAGCTACAGCTGTTGTAGCTGTTTTACTGTAACAGCTACAGCTGTTGTAGCTGTTTTACTGTAACAGATACAGCTGTTGTAGCTGTTCTCAGGTAATAGCTACAACTGTTAAAGCTGTTTTCCTGCAACAGCTACAGCTGTTGTAGCTGTTTTCCTGTAACAGCTACAGCTGTTAAAGCTGTTTATCTATTCAAGCTTCAGCTCTTGTAGCTATTTCCTTGTAGCTTCGAAATAGCTACAATGAAAGAGGCGTTCTGACTAAAATTTTTAGTAGATGCTATATTTCATTATAAAAATCTTAACGTTTTTACTATCATACCTAGGCTTCTATTTTCGCTGCTCTATTGATAAGAATTAGAACTGAAATGGAAGCTTTGAAATTTAACAAATTGGTTAACACGGCGCCAGATTGGGAGTATTTTTCAAACGTTTTCATTGCGAGTATATTTTCTTTGACTATATTTTTCGTGATATTCATAGCCTCAAATGTTTCCACTAAACTCCATTGGCCTGTATAGTGTATGTTATGATTAAGTAACTTATATATTTTACTGCCCAATGTATATTATAATAAAATAAATAATTAAATATATATACATATATTTTAATGTATATAATGCACATTATACTGCAAGCAATGAGATGCTGGTAAGGCCATGGAGAAAACACGCCATCCGAGCAAATGACGCTGAAACGACGTTGAATATACGTTATAATTACAAGTTGATTTTGATAGAACAACGTTGATTACAAATTGATTCTGAAAAAACGACGTTGATTACAAGTTGATTTTGATAGAACAACGTAAATTACAAGTTGATAACATAATCACCGTTATTTAGTCCATATTCAAATATTGTCGAAACAACGATATTTAAACAATTTCTAATCAACGTTACCTAAACAACGCTTTATTTTAGCATTATTTCAACGTTTATAGAACAAAGTTAGATCAACGTTATTCAATCAATGTTAAGACATCGATATTTAAAAAACGTTGAAGCAACGTTATTCAATCAACGTTATTTCAACGTAAGCTGCCCGTCTCACCTGTGAGGCGTCCACGAGGCAGCCTCTGAGGCTGTCCCCCGTCTCACCTGTGAGGCGTCCACGAGGCAGCCTCTGAGGCTGTCCCCCGTCTCACCTGTGAGGCGTCCACGAGGCAGCCTCTGAGGCTGTTGACGCGGCTAGCAGGACAGTTAGTCTCAGAGACACGCAGGCTGGCGTAGGTGATCTGGCCTCCCACCACCTGCGTAAAAATGACATGAATATTATTATTAATTATTTATTATATTGTAATTCAGTACATTATTTCATGGATGTTATTATATTATTATTTATTTTTTATGATCATTAACGCATTATACTTATTAACGCATCTGCACAGGGTGACGTGTTAGTATCGGACACACATATGTTCATAGACGTGAATGTAACGTAGGTAATAAATAACAACAATAGATAAAGACTCATAGATGAACTTTCCATGAAGGCTAGAAAAATATTCGCATTGCATTCCGGTATAATTCATAAATTTTAATTGCAGAACCGAAATCAACAATTAGCATTTTAGTTAATATACAGAAGGAAAATAATTAATAGGTAGAAGTCATCTCAATTATCTAAGTTACCCATGCATGCCAGAGCTCGCTTGCGAACTCAGAAAGTTTATATGATTTTCGATAAGAATGGAAATGAGGCAAACCTAGTGAACTAGTGCAACCCTCAAGGCAAAACTAGAACAACCCTCAAGGCAAAACTAGAGCAACCCTCAAGGCAAAACTAGAGCAACCCTCAAGGCAAAACTAGAGCAACCCTCAAGGCAAAACTAGAGCAACCCTCAAGGTAAAACTAGTGCAACCCTAAAGGTAAAACTAGTGCAAACCTCAAGGCAAAACTAGAGCAACCCTCAAGGCAAAAATAGTGCAACCCTCAAGGCAAAACTAGAGCAACCCTCAAGACAAAACTAGTGCAACCCTCAAGGCAAAACTAGAGCAACCCTCAAGGCAAAACTAGTGCAACCCTCAAGGCAAAATTAGTGCAAAAAGTGGCATGGCAGTGCAGGATCAAACTAGCCGCTGCCACACCCAGTAGCTGTAACTCTGAAGGCAAATGACATTGAAACCACGTTTATTACCAGTTGATATCGTTATTTAAACGTCAAATAAACGTTATTTCAATGTCAGATTAATGCTGGGAACGCACATCAAAACAAATGAATGAGCCATAGTGTCCAAATGGTGAAACACTTCTTCAAACACAGAACACTGTTCGAAAATCACCGTAAACGGTATTATCGGTATTTCAGTGAACGGCCGGCACGTGAGAAAAAACTCCATGTCGCCGTTTTTTTCAATTTAACACTATAAACCCGTACAACATACGAAAAAAAAACGGTGAGACGGTTTATTTTCACGGGGGGCACAACGTTCTGACCGTTTTTGTGCGTTATTTTCAACAGTGCAGAGAGTTGTTGCACTATTATTAGAGAGTTGTTGCATATATTATTAAATAATGAGATATATAATATGTAGCACAATGAGATATAATGAGATTAATATATAATGAGATATATTATGCAACATATATATGTTGCACAATGAGATATATTATTATTATCAGTGTGGCACACGCTTGTACCACACTGGTAAGCCATTTTACAGGCCCGACTGGGTGAAGATGGCTCACACAAGAGAAAAATGTTCATCGCTATTTAGACATATCTCACTCATTCCTTTGAGTGCAGGCAGTGGATAGAAAAGCAACGGAAAAAAATACGAGCAACCGCATCCTTGGAGAACATTTTTTGTGATGTGAAAGTGAAACAAAAAACGAAAATAACTTTGCCGCTTCGTTATCATTTTGCCTACAAATACAACGCGCGGTATACAATAACGACAATATTTTTATGACAAATGTCATCAATTATCACGAACTATAGTAGGTGGAATGTTAATTAAAGCTACGAGTATCCTTTATGATCTTCTCTAACGTTAAATCTCAATAACCACCGATAATTCGAAAAAATCCTGAAAATGGCCATATTTTTAAACTTATGGTGAAAAAATCCGCAAAAAATCTTCAGGTTTCGGAAAAAGCGTCCCATTTAAAAATAATAAATGATAGTTTAATGTCTGAAATTGCACAACAATTTTGTATGTTTAATAAATAACTCGTTTTATATCTGAAGTGTAGGAGAGTTGAGAAAATACAGAATTAGAGAATAAAAAAAAATTAAATAATAACTCCCCCACGTAAGGGGCTGGTCTCGGCGTAATCATTCCCTATTAATTCTACGCCCCCAGCTGAAGCCTGCAACTCCCCATCTTTCCCCACCGCGTGTCGGGAACGCGTCCCTAAAAGATCAAGGTCCCCAAAACGCCCCCGGGGAGCTGCCGTCCCCCAACGTCCGAGTTTTTTCCGGCATTCCGCAGTCGCGGGGATATTACCGGACCGAACCTTTAGGTCCGAGCCCGCTAAATATGTTACTGATATCTGGGATAAACAATTAATCCAGCAGACTGGGACCAATACTGCATAGTTATTAATAATAACTAATAATACAATTATTATTAATAATTAACTATAAACACTCAAAAACAAAAATAAATGGTATAAATACTCCACACAAATAAATGGGATAAATTACTATGACAGATACTCCATGACGGTATTTCCCGTTCCCAGGCATTTAGGTACGAATAACATTGAGGACGAGTAATGTATCAAGTACACAAGGCGCAAAATATCGCACTCATTACACAATGAAAGTTTTTATTTCGGCAGTTGTCGATAAACGCAAAATGTTCAAAATTGTATGCTATAATACATTTAACGTATACAACCCGTATAACATATCTTCACATATATCCAACATATACGTGCTCGTCTCTACAAGAAACGTGAGTTATACGCTTTTATTACGTCGAATGCCTGCGTGTGCGTGAGAGATGATAATTAAAAAAATCTTAGTTAATAGACGAATGAAAATAATACATATGTCTTTTTTTAAACTTTCATTAGATTTATAATAATGATATTTAAAGCGATGTTAGAGTTGCAATTCACGTCAAAATTCTAATATGTTTAACTTGTACATGAGTCACGATGTCCAAATAGCGACGCATTTTCGTACACGCAGACGTAGCGCTGACACACCTTTTGCGAGGCCAAACTGGATCAGGATGACCCACATAAGAGTAAAAAATATAACTCAGTACTCACTGCAGTGAGTGACAGAGAGCGCATTTTCTCGTCGACGAAAACTTGAGGTCACGGACGGACAGACAGACGGACATGACGAGCACAATAGTGCATTTTTTCCATATATGAGAAAATGCGCTAAAAAGTGCATCGTTATATATACTCGGACAAAGAACAATTCATTTCTCTGAGTGAACCATGAACCTCTTCATATAGAGGGCAGCACCACCGCCTGTACCACACGCCTGTACCACACGCCTGTACCACACGCCTGTACCACACGCCTGTACCACACGCCTGTACCACACGCCTGTACCACAACATGTACCACACGCCTGTACCACACGCCTGTACCACACGCCTGTACCACACGCCTGTACCACACGCCTGTACCACGTATATAATATATTAATATGAGGATGTTTTATAATACCGGGACCTATAATAATTAGACAATGGTATAAAATATGTTAATGGGAGAATAGTGTATAATATATTAAAGGGAGAACGGTGTATTATATAATTATGAGAAAATGGTGTATAACATAATAATGAGAGAATGGTATATAATATATTAATGAGAAAACGGTATATAATATAATAATGAGAGAATGGTATATAATATAATAATGAGAGAATGTTACATAATATATTATTGGGAGGAATGATATATAATATATTAATAAGAGAATGATATATTCATTTGTCCCGGCTGATTGATTTTCACTGAATCAATCGTGCCTGATTTAGAAAACGTATAATAATTTTCTTTTAACGGACGCAGGCAAAAACTCTTACAAAAAATCCTATTGAACGTCCTTGTCAAGGATTAAATTAGCAGAGACAAAAGGTTAATCTCTGGCGAGCTCTGTTGCGGGGAGAACGCTGGCACGGAGGCCGTTGGCAGTCTAGTAAAGGCCACTACAGGCCAAAAAAAGGCCAATACAGGCCAAAAAAGGCCAATACAGGCCAAAAAAGGCCAAGTCTTTGGACTATTTCTCGAACTTTAGTTTTCTTGATTTTTGAGGATCGTCAGAGGTGAGAAAAATTTTTTTAAATGATGGCAAAAAAAGAAGTAATGCGAAAAGCCGTACTTAAATAATTAGTTTGCTTAAATCGAAAGCTAACCAAAAATTTAGAAGCATATAAACTATCAAGTAAATAGATTGGGATTTAATCATTTACATTTAATTTACGTTATTTAAACGTCAAATGCACTAGGTAAGAAAGTACGTCACTATTTGCACAATAAGACCGAATAATTTTTTGAGTGTAGCAAAACGTGCCTGCAATTCAACACGGAGTGATCAGAAGGCGGGTGAGTGATCAGAAGGCGGGTGAGTGATCAGAAGGCGGGTGAGTGATCAGAAGGCGGGTGAGTGATCAGAAGGCGGGTAAGTGATCAGAAGGCGGGTGAGTGATCAGAAGGCGGGTGAGTGATCAGAAGGCGGGTGAGTGATCAGAAGGCGGGTGAGTGATCAGATGGCGGGTGAGTGATCAGAAGGCGGGTGAGTGATCAGAAGGCGGGTGAGTGATCAGAAGGCGGGTGAGTGATCAGAAGGCGGGTGAGTGATCAGAAGGCGGGTGAGTGATCAGAAGGCGGGTGAGTGATCAGAAGGCGGGTGAGTGATCAGAAGGCGGGTGAGTGATCAGAAGGCGGGTGAGTGATCAGAAGGCGGGTGAGTGATCAGAAGGCGGGTGAGTGATCAGAAGGCGGGTGAGTGATCAGAAGGCGGGTGAGTGATCAGAAGGCGGGTGAGTGATCAGAAGGCGGGTGAGTGATCAGAAGGCGGGTGAGTGATCAGAAGGCGGGTGAGTGATCAGAAGGCGGGTGAGTGATCAGAAGGCGGGTGAGTGATCAGAAGGCGGGTGAGTGATCAGAAGGCGGGTGAGTGATCAGAAGGCGGGTGAGTGATCAGAAGGCGGGTGAGTGATCAGAAGGCGGGTGAGTGATCAGAAGGCGGGTGAGTGATCAGAAGGCGGGTGAGTGATCAGAAGGCGGGTGAGTGATCAGAAGGCGGGTGAGTGATCAGAAGGCGGGTGAGT